ACGATTATTGAAGTCCCGATTCGATTACAGTCGATTTTCGATTATTAACGATTCTCGATTAGCGATTATTGATTTTCCATTTCACAACAGTAAACGAAAATACACTACAAAGTGTTTGCAGTATTAAAAAAAGTCAGCTGCTGAATTACTTAACTCTTTTATTGAGTAACAACAACTCAAAGCACTTTCTGTGTCATGTAGTTATAACTTCAGAATTATTTGTATGTAGCTTATGTTCTGTAGAACACAGAAATGAATACATCACATTGTGTTGTGACTCATCAAGTTGAACTAAACAATAACAAATAAATGAAAGGCTTATTTCCTTTAGGAAGTAGATCAGAACCAACATACTGTAGAAATTGGACAATTTTCTTCTAGAAAGACAAGGTGTTGTAGCAAGCAACGCTCGTTAGGCCGGAGACACACTGGCTGCGTGGCGTGAGCGTGGCGTTTCTGTTGCGTGTCAGCTGCGTCGCGTTTTCTGTGTCTTTGCACACCAGAAACGTGTCTGCTGCTAGGTGACATAGAGGGACAGTCTACATTTGGGTTAGCGGTGTGTTAATCCTTACTACAACAATTTCAACTCTTAACTTTACGACAACAATTTCAACTGTTATCACACATCTTCCAAAATCCGAAAAATAGGGAAGTGGGCTGTCTGTTTATTTCAATAACATTTACAAATTTTGTGTAGCTTTAAAGAGCCTATATTTAGCCTGATGGTGGACCGTCACTCAGAAGACACACTATGTTGTTATTGTAGCTTATTATCATTATATCCTCCTGAGGCCCAGAACGTTTTTTTCAAAAGTTTTTTTTCTCTTTTTCATGTAATCACATTGTTAAGAGCATAAGAAACAAATGAAAAAAAAAAGAGATATTTTATTCATATGTTATGCTATGACCTCTGTAGTGAACACCAGGACTCGATTGTTTAAAAAATAAAAATGACATAAATTTGTATATAGGCAAAAATAATGGCAATATTTGAAAATCGATAATTATTATTATTATTATTTGTTTAAATTACATTGATATCTGAATTTATATCAAAACCTAGACTTTCAAACATCAAAATGTAATTTATTAATATGTATTCGTGTACAAAATGACATATAAACATCGTTTCCTATTCTATTTTGCCTGGAAACGCTTCCAACACGCTTGCGTGTCGCGTGAAAAATAGGCGTCGGTTCTATTTCTAGCATGCACGCGTTTTCCGCGCGGCTCATGCAGGCAGTGTGCAAGCTCTAACCTGTTAACATGGGAGCCGAAATAAAAACGGACACACCACGCAGCTGAGACGCCGCCACGCAGCCAGTGTGTCTCCGGCACACCTGCTCTCACTCGCTCTGGCTGCCGTTACACGCGCTTGCGGAACTGGGCGCGTTCGTGACGTTCAACTTCCGGTATAACATTTTTTACAAAATAAAATAATGCAATTTTTTTTTATATATATATATAATAAAAAATCGATTTTTGAAAATGTAATAATCGATTCATACTCGTCCATAACATAATCGCGATTAATCAATAATCGATTTTTTTCACCACCCCTAGTGTCATGTGTCTATGGCAACATTTTAATTTTGTGTTGAACTAACACATTAACATGCACTTGAAAGTAACCCCGGGGGTTTTTCTTGAACCAGTGGTGTACGATTTCTTCCAATCTCTTAATCAATGTAGCCCATCAGTAAAGCTCCCAGCATCCTTCAGGCTTTGAGGATTTAGGTCACCTCCTCTGGAGTCGACGGCTCTATCTGAGGAGATCACAGTGCGGATTTCCATGGGAGTTTGGGCATGGGTGGAAAAATCCCATATCCATTAGTTATACCGTATGCTTCTAGCTCTATTTACATTTTTACAGAGGTTTTATTAACAACTACAGGGATCAACGGGAATAAAAATAGAAACTTTCCCTCCACGCAGGCCTGCCACTTTTCTCACAGACCAAAAAGCTGAATGTAAGAGAGGATGGAAAGCATAAGAGGGCGAGATACAAGAAAGGTCGACAAAAAAACGAGCTGATTTCCAATACTTGTCCCCTTCGCATGTCGAGCTGACAGTCGGCAGCTAAAGAAAGCACACGTCTTCATTTGTTTGGTTGCCAGGGCAATGGTAGCCTAACCCTCACCCCCCAGGACGGCTGTCGAGTTAGCCAAACATGTCACGTCTGTCAGCGGAAAATAGGCCGCCGTTTCCACAGCCCTCCCTGCAACCCGGAATAATGGGTGGGGAAGAGAAAACCATGGAGATGTTGCTTAAATCCTCCATCCTAAATACTTAAAGTACACTGGGATTTCTGTTCGCAATCAGGGTTTTTGCAAGTACTTTTGAACTCAAGTTTATTTGTTAGTGATACTGTAATGTGCAATTATGTACTCCCATAATGCACATCACAAGGGTTCAGTTGTCTCTTTGTTGGCAGAGAAATATAGCCATTGTTGAAAGGTTATCAAGCTATTTAGTAGTTTTGTTATTCTTGTTGAATGTCAAGACCAGCAGGATGTCAAAATCATTCAGATTGACAGGGCTGAAAACCTCCATAGGCTGCATGTTGCACAAAAAGATAACTGCTAATGTGCATAATGAACAATAGTACAGAGTCGGTCAAGCAGGAGAAAAACTGGCTGAAAACCCAAAACAATACCAACAGAGATTAACATTTACATTTATGCATTTAGCAGATGCTTTTATCCCATGCGACTTACAATAGAGCAACATAAGCAATAAGACAAACATTAACCTAGATGTGAGGAAACTGTTAAAAAATGAATGCAAGAGAAGATGTGCTCGATATTTAGGTCAGAGCCACTTTTTAGAGATGTTCTGGTCTGTAGAAACTACCTTACAATTTTAGACACATAAAATCAAGGTTTTCGTTTTTTCAAAAATGAATACGAAGATTACATTTGTGTAAACTTGGCACATATGGTTTAAATTCAATTTAAAATGAATATATTTTAATTATATTGGCTATATCTTTTTTTACAGAGTTACAATTGTTGGTATTTCCTTCAGAAACAATCATTCGGGTTTAATGAAGAAACTTAAAATGCACAAAACTAAAATTATCTGTTGTTAAGTGTTGACAGCATTCGGTTTCAGGTTTATTGTCTTGACTTCTTCTTCGTTTTGTCTCCTCTTGGACTGGTTGGGTAACTACAAGCTCTTGTCTGGTATAAGTCAAACTTGGCATTAAGACTCTCCTACATATTTTGAATAAATAAGGGCTGTTATGAGCTAAGACTTCAGAGCTGGTGTTTGGCTTGGTAGACGGTCGATAAACTTTCTCCAGATCAGAGAGAAGTACATCGATTGTTTGGGTTTGGTTGGGCTCAATCTGGTCAGAACATCCACTGAGTCATTGGCGTTCTGTCTTCTTGTTTCTTTCATCCCTACCCCTTTTTCTGCCCTTTCTCTCTACTCCTCTATCGCTTCGATTGGTTTTCAGTCCAAACAAGATCTTTTGCCCAGGGATTCTGTCCCATTGGCAGGCCTACAGAACATTCAAACTTTGCTTGGACGTTTTTTGACAGGCTAGCTCCTTTTCATGTCCAGTTCTTGAGGTGTTTCTGTTCCCCGACTTTAAGGGAATCATTTGTTTTGTCTAACGCCATGCCAAAACCTTCAGACAAACCAGCTGAGTTTTTATGTAGGACTTGATGAAAGACAGACAGTGGTAAGAGAACAAGAGAACTGCATTGGATTGCTTGAAGTTCTTGAACTTCTTGGTTCGTCTTGCTGAAAATAGGAGAAGATTTGGGGTGTTTTTCCCCTTTGAATCCTGTTTAAAAGAACCAAAACGAGACGCCTACAGGTGGACCAAGACGTCAATAGAGTGAAAAAGAACCCAGTTCTTTTTTTTTTTTTATGTTTCTTTCTCCTCATTTTCATCTTCATCTACTTCCTCTTTGTGACCTTCTTTCTTTCTTTTCGTAATCTTATTCCTCCTCTCCTTCGTCATTGTTTTCATCTACTTTGTCTTCCTCTTCATCATCTTGCTCTTCTTCATCATCTTCTTTCTATTCTTTATGGTATTTTCTTCCTTGACGTACCTCTCTTTTCTTTCTTTTCATCCACTTCCTATTTATCATCTTCCTTTTCTACTTCTTCACCGTCTTCCTCCTCTTCTTCTTCTTCCTCCTCTTCCGCTACTTCCTTTTTGTTGTCTTGTTCCTCTTCTACCTTTGTCATTTCAATCTACTTTGACGTCCCCTTTGTCATATTCTTTTTCTCCTTTCACATCTTCGTCGTTTTTTCTTTTTTATCATCTTCCTCTGTCATTCTCCTCCTCCCCTTTTCCTTTTCTTCTTCCTATTATTCATCTACTTTGTCATCTTCTTCTTTGTCATCTTCTTCATTGTCATCTTCCACTTCTTCATTGTCAATTTCAACTACTTCCTCTTTCTGTTTGTCATCATCTTCCTCTTCTACTTCTTCACCGTCTTCCCCCTCTTTTTGTTGTCTTGTTCCTCTTCTACCTTTGTCATTTCAATCTACTTTGACGTCCCCTTTGTCATATTCTTTTTCTCCTTTCACATCTTCATCGTCTTCCTCTTTTTTATCATCTTCCTCTGTCATTCTCCTCCTCCCCTTTTCCTTTTCTTCTTCCTCTTATTCATCTACTTTGTCATCTTCTTCTTTGTCATCTTCTTCATTGTCATCTTCCACTTCTTCGTTGTCAATTTCAACTACTTCCTCTTTCTGTTTGTCATCATCTTGCTCTTCTTTTTTCATTCTCTTCATCACCTTTTCTACTCTTCTTCATTGCTTTTATCTACTGTCTATTGTCGTCTTCAATCTTTTTTATTTTCTTCCTTTCCATGCCATCTTATTTGCTATCTACGTAAAACTAAAATAAGCAGCTGATCTTCTCTTCTGAGCCACTGCATGTAATCATGTTTCGCAATGTACGTTCTAAGCAAACTGCACCATGGACTGTCAAGACTGAGAAGTCTGATTTAAAGTGGCATCTCTTGTTCTTTCTCAAGGTATATCGGGAAGTCGGACTCCATCACCATCAGCGTGTGGAACCATAAGAAGATCCATAAGAAACAGGGAGCAGGATTCCTGGGATGTGTACGACTCCTCTCCAACTCCATTAACCGACTCAAGGACACAGGCTGTAAGTGTGTGTTTTTGTGTGTATCACAGTCTCATAGGTGTGTGTGTATAATTAGCTCAGAAAACATGGCTCAGGCCAAATTCAATTGTACTTGTGTGTGTACAATTGGCTTAGAGAGGTTGTAAGTATGTGCTACAATGGCTGTGTGTGTTAAGTGTGCAACCTTTAAATAAAAAACGAAACCGCAACGTTTTTAAACACAATAATATATCTTACTTTGGCTTGAGACCACTGTCAATCTCAGGTAAATGACGTCCTGTTATTTGTGTATCACTTTCTTGTCGGCTACACAAGAACTGGTGTCAGGATGTTTAGGGTACGAGGGGCCCTGTCACAGTCTGTCTGGCTGTGTTCCAGCTCCACAGTTGTGTTTAAAAACAGGCTTTCCCTAGAAACCCTCCAGCATGACCACTGTCCTGGATAAGCACAGGAAACCCACAGCCGCTCCCACAGCTGGGAGTGATTCAGTTCACCATTTCCTGTTGCACCCCTCTGTCTCTCTGCCATCATTCTTTCTCTGTCTTTTCTCATTACCTCTCTCTCTTTCTCCCATTCAGTCTATCACTAATAATTAGGGTCTTTAATAAGAAAAAAAAATTGGTCTCTGCCAATATTACCTTTTTAAAAAAACATTAAGATAAATTCACAACAAAAAAAATTCCTCTTCATTTTCATCTACTTCCTCTTCATGTGTGTGTGTACAAAATTGAGGTATGTCTATATCTGTTTCAGGTAATATTCTTGTTTTTCTTTAGTATTTGTGATGGCTATATTCTAGTAACTCTTTGTTTTTAAACTTTTAAACTATATGTATTTGATTATCTTTACTGTATTGGAATTGGCCAATGTTATTATTTTTAAATTATGATGAAATTGTGAAAATGTACCAGTGACTGCTATATTGGTATCTGATAAATCATTTATTACAATAAATGTACATGATGCATGATATATTGATGACAACTGCATTATTTTGTAATTTAAAAAAAAATTACAATACATTTAACTTACATTTTAAAAAGGATTTTAACTAGTCTGGTCAGCTAATTATTTTTATATAAATTTTTTTTTTTTTGCGCTTTTATTTTAGTAACTGTTATTATATCTATATCAGTGCATCCTTAGTTTTTAGTAAAAGTAAAATGTTCGCAGGTGCTTGACCATATGAAGGGGTTTAAATGTGAGATGAGTGTTTTGGGATCGGTGAACACTCATCCAGCCCTGTTTAGTCTAGCTGTGAGTGTGCATCCTGATCTGACTGTGTGTGTCTATGTGAGAGTGAGAACAGATAGTGGCCTCTCTAATGTCTGCAGGCTACTTGTTATTCCTGTGTCCCTCTTTCCGGCAATGACAGAGAGCCCCAGCGTGTTTCTGGAAGCGCCTCACTCCTATCGGCACATCTACAGTCTGAGAGGAATAAAGCAGCCTCTGTGTGTGTACGCACACACACACACTGATACAGAGCGCTGCAGTATATGTGACCTCACACATGAAATATGGAGCATTTTAGGCGTCTTTTAAGTCTCAGATGTCTCACCGAATGGGTCTTTGGTTTCGCACATGAACGTTTTCTTTATCCTGACACTAATTTTTCTCTTTCCTTCATTTACAGATCAGCGTTTGGACCTAAACAAATTGGGGCCCAATGACAGCGATACCGTGAGGGGACAGATAGTAGGTGAGTCACAAGCTTTGCTCGTTCGCGAGAAGGACCTGTCAGGGATTTGGAGAGCTCCTCTATTTTCATCTCTTTGCCACATCTGCCATTTATCCCATGAGTCACACCAGCGCTAGAGCTTCAAAGTTTTTCATTAATGATGGTTAAACCCACACATTTACCTTCGACGCCCTAAAAACGTCCCTCGGTTGGGAGCATAGGAGGAAAAAAACAGCCCTCATTCTGCCTGATTTATCGGTTTCTCTTTGATATTCCACTGCGCTTTTCTTTCATGCGCTCGAAGAGCCGCATTGTTCCTTCATCAATAAAGAGTTTTGTGGTGTGATGATGTATTTGCGCACTGGGTTGCACGTCCCATGGCCACACCACAGGTTTTTACAAGCAGCCATTCATCAGAAGATGAATGCTTTCCCATGCCTGAGAATTTCAAACAACACTCTTATATTCCATTTGTTTCTTCATGTCACATACATTTTTTGCGTCACGTGTGTTATGATGAGTCACAGTTGCCGGTTGATCATTAATGAAAGCAAGTAGTTATTAACTCTAAGTTACCCTAAGGCAACCTTTATTCTAAACACTTTGAAGAAACCCCTTACCCTAAATATATATCTCCTTAAACACCATTTGTATAAAAATATGTCAGCTATATTTGTTATAACTAGGGATGGGGCCGATCCGATCCAGTATCGGTATTGGGACCGATACCAGCGTAATTCACGTATCGGATTTTCCCGATCCAACCTGCGGAGATATCCGATATCCATGAGCTATGTCTGCGCTTTAAAGTTGTCTGCTGAAATGACTCCAAAAGTGATTCCCGTCCGCTAGTCTGCTTGCTGGCTGCAAACTGCGGAATGGATTTCCTGAACGGAGGCGCGGCTCAATGAGACACAGAGTTATGAGACACGCCTCCACTCAGGATATCCATTCCCAATGTTGCCAGACGTACGATAATTATCGTATTTGTACGATAATTTTGACCTCTGTACGATGTACGATCAATAATGACAAAAATCCCATAATGTACAATAATTTCTGAATTTTGTTACACTTCAATCGGAGGTCATTGTAATCATAGTGTTTTTATACTCATTGATCTAGCTCCATTCCGCAGTTTGCAGCCAGCTAGCAGGAAAGCATTGAGCAGCATTATGTCCGCTGTGTGGAAATACTTCACACTGGAAACACCGCAGAGCAAGACAGCAAAATGCAATGTTTGCAAAGCCGTAATTCAAAGAGGTGCTTTGACAATTCAGAGCCACCGAATCACGAATACGATAAAATGCATACGAAAATTTCGGACTCAGTGTGCAAGAGCCTTAAGATGTTTAAAGTTATTGCACTTTTCTTATATTTCTAATATTTGACATTTTAAAACCTTGATTTGTTGATGCTACAAGAGCCAGTGTACTTGATTTGTGCTGTTCAAATGCACACTGTTTTATTGATAGTGTGTGTGTAAGATGTTTACACTTGCACTTTTCTTATATTTCAAGACTCTTATTTGACATTTTGGGAATGTAATAAATATTGACATGAAAATCAATTTGAAACCCTAAAGCCTGGAACACACCAAGCCGACGGTCGGCCGTCGGGCAGTTTTTGTGGGTCGGCCGACTGAGTTTCCTCGGTGTGTTCCGCACGGTTCCGTGCCGTCGGCTGAAATTGGTCCTCGTCGGCTTTGTTTCGGCCGATTCGACTTGTTGAATCGGCGTCGGGCCGTCGGTGAAAGAGGGAACTCTGATTGGCTGCTCAGCTTAGTGAAAGAGTCAATGCATGAGAATAATAGCAAAACAGCGAGCAAAGAAGTTAAAACTCTACAGATAGAAGGCTGTTCTTATGTTACGTCATCTTACCTGAGTGTTCCTTGGCGAATATTTCAATATTAACACGAGCGGAGTGGAATAAAGAAAGTGTTTAGCAGGATTGATATTCAAAACGGTAAGCACGCACTGCTTTGTTTACGGTATGTGTATCTGCAGCCGGCAGCGTCGGTTTCCCTTTTTGAATGACGAATATAGACGAATATATCTGCAGAAATAGACAGTTGTCTCATTGACACGCAGGCGCAGAACGCGCATTCTAGCTGACAGTCGGCTGTAGTTCTCTCGGTGTGTTCAAGTGCAGCTTTTTACCCCGACGAGAGGCGACAACACAGTCGGCTTTCATCAGCGCTAGTTCGTCGGCGTCGGCTTGGTGTGTTCCAGGCTTTACAGTTGCATATTTGTTTTCAGAATGGGATTTTTCCTGTTAACAGGATTTCCTGTTTTTCTGACTTCCTTTTCTGACCTTATATTATACTTACCTAAAGTTGCCTTTTGGGACACAAATGCATACATACGTACATATCATACTTGCCTGTTGAGAGGAGTTTATTTCAGCATCATATAAAATCAACAATAATGATAATAATAATATTAAAGCAAACACAGCTCTTGTATCGGAATAGAATCGGTATCGGCCGATATCCAAATTCAGGTATCGGGATCGGATCGGAAGTGAAAAAATGTGGATCGGTGCATACCTAGTTATAACAATTGATTATTTTTTTAAATGCATTATCTTTATTTGTATTTGCCAATATAAATATTTTGGATCCATTTTTTACAATTACTTTTTTTATTGATGAATTTCGAAAAACAATCTTTATCGGTGACAATATGGCAGTTTTGTTTTTTTTGTTGGTGTTTTTTTTAAATGGATAATTCATTAAACAAATCTGTATCCGACAATATGGGTTCGTTTTCTTCAATTGATCTTTTTTGATCAGATCTATATCGCTTTTTGGTGTCTGCCAACATTTTTTTATTAATTTTTGAAAATGTATGATAAATTTCAAAAACGTGATCTATATTGTATTTTCCAATATTATAGGTTTTTTTATTAGGATACATTTTTAATATATACATATTTTTAAATGACAATGAATTACTTGGTATTATTGGAAGCAAACCATTTTTTATGTATTCTTTTTATTATTTTATAACTAAAACCATATACTTGTTTTCTATACCAAGATCAATAATCAGACCCCTGATTATTTAACTCGTTACTGTCTAGTTTAACTGGTGTTTTTGTGCGAAGGAACTTGCAGTACACTTATTGCAGGAACAATTGCGCAAAGTTTCTGTAAAGCTCATGCATGCATTCATGCATTTTCTGTAAAGCTGCTTTGAAACTATGTGTATTGTGAAAAGCGCTATACAAATAAATGTGAATTGAATTTAAAAAAAGTGCTCAGGGTGACTATAGTGATTTTCTTTTGTGGGGATCAAAGCTACAGCCTCTCGGTTGCCAGTTCAGACTTGTAACAACTGCCTCAACACCCCAAAATGGCAAAATATCCATGCTACGCATGTCTTACACTCATCTTGACATGGCTGTCACATAGTCTCAGTCAATCCATGACACACTCACCTTTCACAGATGGGACCCATCTAACATCCTGTTTTTGTGTTTGTGTCAACAGTTAGTCTTCAGTCCAGGGACAGGATAGGCACAGGAGGGCCAGTCGTTGACTGCAGTCGTCTGTTTGACAATGACCTGCCTGATGGGTACGTGAAATAACTCTTAAGAAACTCCCAAATGAGCGCTTATATAAAACCATTTTTTATCTTTAGAGGATACTGAACAGCCACTGTTTTTATCCGACCCCTGTGTTTGTTCCTGCGCCATGTGTGTGTGTGTCTGTCTGTCTCTCTGTCTGTTTGTTCATCTGTATGAATGTCTCTTTGTGTTCCGTCTGCAGCTGGGAGGAGAGGAGAACTGCATCTGGCCGGATCCAGTATCTAAATCATATCACACGCAGCACCCAATGGGAGAGACCTACCAGGTGGGGTCAGGTTTACTTTGTTGTAGTCCCAGCTTACTTTTATTTTATTTATTTTGTATAATTTTTTTACTTTATTTTTATTTATTTTATTTTAATTTAATTGTACTTATCTTGTTTTAATATATTTTATTTACTTTTGTTTTTATTGTACTTATTTTGTATTGTAACATTTTTATTTCTAAGTATTATTTTATTTATTTTTATTTTTATTGACTTTATTTTTTATTCTATCTTTAATTTGCATTTATCTGTTTTTTAAATATTTTATTATGTGGTTTTTTTTTATGTTTTTTTATTTTATTTTATTTTTATAAATATTCTAGTTTTTTAGAGATGTGAATGGTTTCCAGACTGAACTAAAGACTTTTAGGATCAAGGCATTTTGGCTTACCCAAATGAATCTCCGGGTCTTTGGGTTTGAGGTTGGTTAGGAGAATGGTAATTTTGTGTGTGTATGCGTGTGCCACACAAAAGGAAAATGTGCGCCGGCCACATCTGTCTCCTTTGCCATCTAAGACACTGACCCAAATGTATCCAGAGTACATTTGAGCTGAAGATATATAAAGCCATGTCAGGGAGCATCCCCACTTCATGAATTTTTAAGGAAACACTCAACCATAAAGAAACATTCCAGGCAACATTCCAAGACGAAGATCTAGATGAAACGCTGGTCTGGTCTGCGTTTCCAAAAAGTTTATTTTGGGAAACGCAGCCCTGGTCAGCAAGGACAGTGTAAATTTCCAACAACAATGAAAATACCTCAAATAATAGAAGGTTTATATTAGGGCTGTCACTTTACGTTCGGAAATCGATTGCATAATCGATCGGACCAACAAACACAAGTATCGAAAACGAAAATAGGGAATCGATTTTAACGGCCTTCTTTTTTTTTTTTTTTTTTACCAAAAATGTGTTTTAGGTTGACAGATCAATACAGTGCACAGAACATGTAGGATGTCGGAAAATAACAATGTCTTTTCTGTTAACCAAATGCTTTTTAATATTCGCTATTACTTCAATGCAAGTGAACAAGCGCACCGTTATTTGTTACTCAGTGACGTGTGTGTTCAAGTAAGCCAGAAATGCGCAGATATATATATATACACTGATTGGCTTCATCACTCTGTCTCCTCTCCACCAGTAAGCTGGTGTGTGGTGAGCGTTCTGGCTCAATATGGCTGCCGTCGCATCATCCAAGTGGATGCTGCACATTGGTGGTGGTTGAGGAGATTCCCCCTTCCATGTGAAGCGCTTTGAGTGCCTAGAAAAGCGCTATATAAATGTAATGAATTATTATTATTATAGATTCTGCGCTATACACTGTATTTAATATATCATGAGGACTCACGAGTTGAGTTTTTGCGCTAAATCCGTGCAGATTTGGCTTACACGAACTTCCCCAGCTAAGAAAGTGAGTAAACATAGAAACACGCCACATTGGCTCGTGATTTGACAGAGTTACCCGCCAAAGTTCATTTTTATCTGCATTCAATCTCTGAATGTTGCGCTCCTGTTTGTCATTGTGCACGAAACTTCACGCCAATAAATCATCAGAAATATTGCTGACTTGTGCACGTCACAAGCGCCCTCTTTACGCTCGTCCTAATGCCTGTTAGGTGTCCGTGGATTTGCCTATATGTGGTGATGAAAATGGAAACGTCTTTAGACATGGAAAATCGATTTTACAATCGATTCAATGAACACTTACGTCTCAAAAATCGGCCATAAGTACCTATAGTTGAAAAACACCCATGTACTCTTTTGTTTCTACTCTACAGCCGTTGTTTTTCTAGTCTTTCCTCAAAACGTTACTGTAGCCTGTAGGGATTTGATTCAATTCAGCCACAAGCACGTTAGTGAGGTTATGTGTCGACATTGGCCGACTAATCCAAGTGTGCAGCACGCATTACAATTCACAGCCACGGGAGCTCTCGAAACATCATTTTCGCACTGACGTTGCTTCCAAAGGCAGTTTTGAACCTCTGAAGTGTTGAAACCGAGTGGAACAGAGGGAATATTGAAACCGAGCACAGGCTGTGTTTATGCCCTACATGATTCAGCACTTCGTCCTCGTTCGTTGAGCTTGTGTTGCCAGCCGCTTCACGGTTGAGCTGCTGTTGCACTAAGATGTTCCCACTCTACAATAACAGCACTTACGGTCGACCCGGGCAGCTGGAGAAGGACAGAAATTTCACTCCCTTGTTTGGAGAGGTTGCAGGTCTGCGACTTAATCAAGTCCCTCAGCTCATTGCAGTACGCCGTTCTGCTTGACAGTGTTCGTCTTCATTATTCATTTAGTATACTTAAAGCTAAGTATTCATAGAGATTTGAATTTCATACCAAAGGGCACACTATTGTGTGCTTGGGTTTCCAAAACTAATGCCTGATTGTACCCCAGAAGAGCCACCAAGTCTTTCATGATCTTTTTTCTAGTTTTGTTAGAGGTGCAAATGCTTTGCAGACTCAAATAAAGTATTGTAGGCATTTTGGCTTACCCAATTTTCTGTCCAGGTCGTTGGGTTTGAGGTGGTTCTGTTGGATAGGACAGGATTGTCCAGTCTAAGACCAGGCTAAAATGGCTTACTAGTCTTAGTTTGGACCAGTGAGTTAGAGTGGATGGTTTTAAAGGGGATTTGGATGTTTTTTAGCTGGTCATGCTGGTAGACAAGCTGGCCACCCAAATAAATCACTAACTCAGCCAGGTTTGGAGGTCATTTTTAACCAGTTAATACCAGCAAACCAATTTAGGCTGGTTTGACCGTTTTTTTTTGTTTTTGTTTTTTTAAAGCCAGGAAAGTCCAAACCAGATGGAAAGGGCCATAGGAAATGATGCTGAGACTTTATTTCACTTTGTACTTTCTGAAGAAACTCAGTTTGAGAAAACTGTTTTCAAAAATGATGTTTTGTCATTTTTATATTTGTTATGATGTTTTGCATAAGTAATCACAAAAATGCTCTGTAATCTTCTGTTCTTCTGAATTTCACAGTTACATTGTACACACATTCAGCACACACTTTCATTCAAAGCGACTCTGCATTCTACGGAGCCCCTAAAGGGACGTGGTGGTGGAAAAAAAATTAGGACGGGAGATTTTTTTTTTTTACAAAACTGTTGCGTTCCCCCGCAAAACTGTTGCGTTCCCCCGAGAAACTTTGCGTTCCCACGCAAAACCTGTTGGCAGCTCGGACAGACACTTCCTGTTTAATGTCCCGCTGGCAGTGTTTCAGAGCTCCGTACGTTAATGGAGCGTTTCATAGTGTTTGAACTTGGATTCAAATATAAAGATATGCGGTCAGTGCTTAACTCAAGGAGATCAGTGAAGTTGGCAATATATACACATGTATTCGAACTTCCCGGATCAATATTCTTGAGCTAAACGTTGTTAAAACACAAATGACACCCATTTACAATCACAGTAACCTAGACAACGAGCTACAACCCAATTCTCCTCAAAACGAGTGAGGGAACGCAAAGTTTCTCGGGGGAACGCAAAAGTTTTGCGAGGGAACGCAAAAGATTTGGAAAAAAAAATTCTCCCATCCTAAAATTTTTTTCCCCACCACATCCCTTTAGGGGCTCCGTAGCATTCTAAGTATATGTGAATTTGAACCATTTTAATGTAGTCTGTTGTCCTCATTTCTTCTTTCACACACACAGGCCTGCGTCCGAGTACTCGAGTCCCGGCCGGCCACTCAGCTGCCTGGTGGATGAGAACACGCCCATCATGACTCCCAACGGGGCAGCGGGCGTACCTGCGGATGACCCACGGGTGCAGGAGCGGAGGGTTCGCTCTCAGAGACACAGAAACTACATGAGCAGAACTCACCTACACACACCGCCCGACCTGCCAGAGGGATATGGTACGCACTCATCAGTTCTACCGTAAATACTGGCCAGCTTGCAAAGGTCAAAAATACACCCTCCAGCATACATTTCACACACACACACACACGCATGTGCGATGGAAATTTGTGCTGCAGCAGGAGTAATTAAAACGTCTCTTGAGCTGTAGAAAGGGAACTTGTCTGAAATATGTCAGACGTGCCGTCAGCACCAGCTGCAGGGTCAGACGGGTGACCTGGAAATCCCTCTATGTCTGTGTGCGTGTGTGTAAGTCCGTGGAGAGATACAGAGGGCAGAGGTTATAGACACAGGTTAAATAGAGCTCTGTGTGCTCTCCTCTGCTCAAGTAGCTAAATGTGGGTCTGTAGACATGGGATACAGGTCAAGTACATGTGTGGAACAGGGACTTAAACCATCATTTAAAGACTTTGAGATGAATCGATATTGATATTTATATTTAAAAAAAAATTTAAATCCACAAAATCACTAATAAACTTTTAAGTAACTTCCTATATTTAGCCAACTCAAAAGTCTTCTCGATAAACCGCTAATTTAAAAGTGTGGTTTTACTTGAAAAGAGCATATATTACTATTGTATAGTAGAATAGTTATTGTATTATTATTATTATTTTAAGAAATATCATACAACCAAGATGTTTCTTCATCTGTTTTAATTTATACAGTATACACATTCTGTAAATAAAAATGCAATGTTTCGATGTAAAATAATTATGTTTTAATAGATTTTTTTTTAATTGGTCCCATTTTATTAATTAGTTTCATTATACAACATTTTTGATAATAAATTTGTATTAAATCCCAAATGCAGAATCCAGAAAAAATAAAATCGAAAACAAATAAAAAAATAAAATGGGATTTAAAAGGTAGCTTATTCTTTGGCAAGTTTTGTTTAGATTCTTAAGGTCTAACACATGAAATGCCTTTCTTTCTTCATTAATGGTGTGAAATTAATATCATGATATATACCGGTATATCAATATTGAATATTTTGGGAAAAAATATAATGGCAATATTTTTGGCCATATCGCTCAGCCCAACTTTAAGAGGTTATTGAAGGTGATTTTTCTGATAGAGCATTAAACTTTTATCTCCTCATTAAATGTAAATGTTTAAAATTGCAGAGATTCATGATATCCTCCTTTAACGCCAGCATGTGAGTTTAATTTAGATCTTTGTGGTTTTGCGAGCAATATATCATGTTATATAATTTAAAATGAATCTGCTTGTTTATATTTAGCCATTATTTTCCCTTAAAGTTGATTCGTTTGTGTGAAACGAACATAGTTTACAGTCATGGATCAGATAAGCATACGGTAAATCAAACTGAAAGTGAAAGAATGAAAGTATCACTACTGTACACACATTAACACAAAAACTAAAATGATAGTATTCAACCCTCTTGTCATTTTTTTCACATTGTAAATGACGAATGATGCCCTCTGGTGTTTGTCCACAGAGCAACGGACAACGCAGCAGGGCCAGGTCTACTTCCTGCACACGCAGACGGGCGTCAGCACATGGCACGACCCCAGAGTGCCCAGGTACCTCCTCCTTATCCTTTGTGTCTTTTACATGTTTAATATTATTACAGTTATTTATCTTATCTTGTTTTACAAATATTTTATACTGAATTTGGTTGGAAACCTGCGGCTCTAACCAGTAATTCTTTTGTAACATGCAAAACATCACTGTTTAATAATACAGCTATGTTGTAGAGTGTGATTTTTGAGCAATGAGATATTACTGTGTGCGAACATTATTCTTCAAAATGCCTCGAAGCTTTTGACGGTTGAAACTGGTTTGGGCAGAAACTGAGAAGACATGAACTTGGAGAAACTTGGATCTTTATGAGGGGACCGTTTAGTCATTTATCTGAGAGCGGAACATGATTGAAAAAATTAATTGTGGCTTTGGGTTGACATTCAGCATTTTTGCAGCGCTGCACATTTGTTGCTCTGTTAGTTTGATGATGTTTGGCAGGAGCCCGAAATCAACATATCTGAAGTTTGTTTCGTCTCGTTCTTTTTTTCTTTCTCTCTTTTCGAACTTTGTTTTGTCTGTCTTCTTGCTTTGTTCTTGTCTTTCTCTCTCTCTTAGTTTGACGTCAGTCTAAGGAGCATGTTACAATATATTTAAAGTGTTTTAGCACTGTTTAAGTAATGCCATTTTTTACTTTTTTGCATTAATTTTAAATCATGAACACATTTCACTTCCATCAAATCACGATCATCATGATATAAGTTAAGATAAGATTTCACTCAATAAATATTGAAACGGTTTATGTTAAAAAATAAAATGTATTATTATTTGAGTATTTTATTTATTTATTTATATATATATATATATATATATATATACACTCACCTAAAGGATTATTGGGAACACCTGTTCAATTTCTCATTAATGCAATTATCTAATCAACCAATCACATGGCAGTTGCTTCAATGCATTTAGGGGTGTGGTCCTAGTCAAGACAATCTCCTGAACTCCAAACTGAATGTCAGAATGGGAAAGAAAGGTGATTTAAGCAATTTTGAGCGTGGCATGGTTGGTGGTGCCAGACGGGCCGGTCTGAGTATTTCACAATCTGCTCAGTTACTGGGATTTTCACGCACAACCATTTCTAGGGTTTACAAAGAATGGTGTGAAAAGGGAAAAACATCCAGTATGCGGCAGTCCTGTGGGCGAAAATGCCTTGTTGATGCCAGAGGTCAGAGGAGAATGGGCCGACTGATTCAAGCTGATAGAAGAGCAACTTTGACTGAAATAACCACTCGTTACAACCGAGGTATGCAGCAAAGCATTTGTGAAGCCACAACACGCACAACCTTGAGGCGGATGGGCTACAACAGCAGAAGACCCCACCGGGTACCACTCATCTCCACTACAAATAGGAAAAAGAGGCTACAATTTGCAAGAGCTCACCAAAATTGGACAGTTGAAGACTGGAAAAATGTTCCCTGGTCTGATGTGTCTCGATTTCTGTTGAGACATTCAGATGGTAGAGTCAGAATTTGGCGTAAACAGAATGAGAACAGGGATCCATCATGGCTTGTTACCACTGTGCAGGCTGGTGGTGGTGGTGTAATGGTGTGGGGGATGTTTTCTTTAGGCCCCTTAGTGCCAATTGGGCATCGTTTAAATGCCACGTCCTACCAGAGCATTGTTTCTGACCATGTCCATCCCTTTATGGCCACCATGTACCCATCCTCTGATGGCTATTTCCAGCAGGATAATGCACCATGTCACAAAGCTCGAATCATTTCAAATTGGTTTCTTGAACATGACAATGAGTTCACTGTACTAAAATGGCCCCCACAGTCACCAGATCTCAACCCAATAGAGCATCTTTGGGATGTGGTGGAACGGGAGCTTCGTGCCCTGGATGTGCATCCCACAAATCTCCATCAACTGCAAGATGCTATCCTATCAATATGGGCCAACATTTCTAAAGAATGCTTTCAGCACCTTGTTGAATCAATGCCACGTAGAATTAAGGCAGTTGTGAAGGCGAAAGGGGGTCAAACAGTATTAGTATGGTGTTCCTAATAATCCTTTAGGTGAGTGTGTGTATATATATATATATATATATATATATATATACTGTACATATACTCTAAGATGTCTTTAAAAAAAAGTTGGGGATAAGGGTAAAATAATACAATATGTACATAAAAGGCATTTGAAAAGTAAATACAATTTTTTTTAAAATAAATGGTCAAATGTTTCCTAGACCAGTTGAAATGATGAAAATATTTGTAATAAAATCAACACATGGAACATAAAATTTCCATTTTGGGGAATCCTCTAGCTAAAGAAGTAGATATGAAGAGTTAAGATGCAAAAACATCTAAGTCCTTCTGACATTTTTCTTTTAAATGAGCTTTTTTTTTAACAGGCTCTCATCATGTTTAGGTTCAGTAATTTCACTTTAATGGTACTGAAAAGGTTATTAGTCAGTTATTGAAATGCCTTATTTTCAAAAAATATCACTTCAAGACATAGTAAACAGATGCACTACTAATCACTACTGTCACATCTGTATCGTATTCAGGCCCAAGTGCTCACAGGGTTCGAATGTGACCCACGGGAATGACACAAAATGACCGCACACTTTATTGGATAACAACAAAAAACAGAAGACAAATAGAAGACTTTATGCAATAACTACAACATATACACTACTCTCAAAATGAAATAAAAAATATATAATATAATACATATAAAATATAATAACCTATATACAATATTAGATATAAAAAATAAATATAAAATTATGTATCAAAAATAAATAATAAATAACTTGTGTTAAATAAGTTGTGCATTAAGAAGTGCATGAAGTCAGTAAACATTAAACTTATATTAGTAAAATCTAAACAATTAGACATTTATTCATTTAGCTGACGCTTTTATCCAAAGCGACTTACAATTGCTATATATGTCAGAGGTCGCACACCTCTGGAGCAACTAGGGGTTAAGTGTCTTGCTCAGGGACACATTGGTGTCTCACAGTGGATTCGAACCCGGGTCTCTCACACCAAAGGCATGTGTCTTATCCACTGCGCCATCACCACAATTCATTGTCATAAAACGTACATTTCTTGTATAAAGTTCTAAACATCTTTACTTAATCTCTTTAAACAGGATATAAACTTGCAGCTCAACAATTGAAAGCTGGCTCACACCCTTGCTGTCATTCATTTTGAAATCATATGATTCGATTTGAGTCTTCTGATTGGTTCTATGAACTTGGCGTTTAGCGGTTTCTGCCACGAACCGGTATTTCTAAAAGGGCAGAGGCTGGGATTTAGCGGATTTGAAGCGAAAGTATTTGATGAGCGTATACTATGTGCGGAGAGCATTCGCACAATATCGTTTAGCGGCTTTTGCATCTGAAGTCTTCAAATATACTCCAGAAATTATCTTGCACTATGTGCATGTATACGGTAATGTCCAATTGTGAACTGGTTCTCTACATATATCATAACAATTTCTAATCTCACCAGGGACAAAACCACTGCTAGAGCTGACTAACGGTTCTCCGTCTTTCTCTCTGCAGGGATCTCAGTAATGTGAATTGTGAGGAGTTGGGTCCGCTGCCTCCAGGCTGGGAGATAAGGAACACCGCCACAGGACGGGTGTACTTTGTGGACCACAACAACCGGACCACACAATTCACAGACCCGCGTCTCTCAGCTAACCTGCACCTCGTCCTAAAGTGAGTCACTCTCAACTTCATCAGAAAGAACCAGACACCATTCAACCTAGAAACTACTAGAGACATGAAAGACATAGTCGTATTGCTAAAGTCTCATGCCGTTGTGTCTCACGTTTACTCCAACAGTCCCAGTCCGAATGGCTCCCGTGGGGCCGTTGAGGCTCAGAGCAGGTAAGAAATTAATCAGATTCTCTTCAGTTGGAGCAGTTTTATCGATCCACGCGCTCGTGACCGTGCATGTGTAGTTGTGTGTGTCGCTTGAGCCAGAGGAATCCATTAATGGGGAGAGATCGAGTTTCCCTTTTCCTGTCCTGACAGATCAAAGGACATGTCCCACATTCCGCCTTCCCACTTCATGTTGTTCTTGCAGTAACAAGAATATTCTGTGGCGTACGGCTCGCATGAATGGCATCACACAAGTCAGGGAATATCAGTTCACGTAGGATCTTGCAAATGAATCATTGCACCTGGATAGTATCTTCACCTGTCAAATGGGATGTTTGGATTGACGTTAATCAATATGGTTTGTTCAAAGGTCATTGCCAACATTTTGCAGCATTTATTCAAAATGTGCCTAAAATATTTGAAAACAGAAATTCTCACTTTAATCACCCAATGGTATGAAATAAAGATTAAAAAGGTAAAACTGTAAAAGATCAAGTTTAAAACAAGAAATTAAGTCACATAGGGAAATAGAAAGTCAAAGTTGTGAGATATGATTATGGCTCATAATAATTTAGCATAATCTTTTATTAATTAAAAAAAAATGTAAGCAGTGAAGAAAATTTAATTTAGTTAGGGTAAATATATTATAATATATACTATATAATATAATATATTATAATATTATATTAAAAAAATGATCCATCAAAGTCAGTGTCACATGCAGAAAGCCATGTTTAGTAAGTTGTTGTTGTTGTTGTTGTTGTTGTTTTTTTAATATTAGATATTGACCTCTTTCAAGATCAAATTTAGTAACCCTAAGAAAACTACATAATATTCATGACTCAAACATCCAATGTTTTTAGTTGACGTTTTTCACATGATTATATTATATTTTTGTGAAACAAGAGATTTTCTACCATTCAGAGAAAGTCTGAAATGTACTTTAGCTTTAGGTCAGCAGCACAAACGAAATGATTTCCATTTTACCAAAATCTAAACTCTGAATGAGCACTGAATGTAATGCAGATAATAAAGCAACAAATAGTAAAAGTGTGCAATATAACACAGCTTTGAATGATTATGCACTAAAGTAAACATACAAAACCACATTATCGTGCCATTACCTAGATTCTGATTTAATATTGTATCGCTATGTTTGCCATAAAGAGATACCAGACAGATATCAGTCCAAACAGACCATTTGCATTAAGACATCATCCCTCAAGCAAACTAACTGCCAAAGCGAGTCAGTGTAAACGTTCCTGGCGCTGCAGTTGTCTCACTTTTGGAAAAGGCATCAGATAGATTATGTGGATATCTGTCGAAACATCTGCCTTATATCAGAGCAGAAATTCTCACCTCTCTGTCATCTGGCAAAACTCTTCTGTGCTGTGTGCTTTCCTCTCAGCCTTGACGGCTTCATGATCTCACGATCAAGTGCGTGATGGGAGCTTCGGGCGGGTGGGTGATTGTCATGGCTGTGCGTGTGTGCATGCATGAGCTGCGTTTGTTTTTTCATGGATACACCCTCATGATCCACATCCAGCATTTCAAGAGTCATTAATGGATTACAGGATTCGGGGGGGGAAAAAGTGTTTTTGTTTTTTTGCTTGAATCTGTTCAGTTATTCAAGAATATTATTTACAGATACTAATGAATAAATCTCATATTTAATGTAGATGGTTTAAACTTCTTAATTTTGTTGTTGTTCTTAATGTCAAAAAAGTGATTATAAGATATTTAATGGCAAAATGATTGTAATGATTATCAGAGATTATAATGACAAAACAGGCTGTAATTCTTGTAAATATGATTTGGCACGAGTAATTTGGCATAATCTTTTATTATTGTTAATTATTTTTTAAATAATGCAAGCAGTGAAGCCAATTTGATTTGGTGGATAAAAGTTGTTGAAATATTAATGTAAAAAGTTTAAAAATATTAATATTTGAAAAACTTTTATCCACCAAATTAAAGTCAGTGTCACTTGCAGGAAATCATGTGTTCTTTCTTATTTATTGATTTATTTATTTTTAAATATGAGATATTTTCACTTCTTCACCAGGTCAAAGGAAAACTATATTATATTCATGGCTAAAAAAATTATATTTTGGGAAAAAAAGAAAGAAAAAAATACAATTTAGCTTTAAATATATGCTTACATTTTTTTTTATTTTTTTTTTTATAATGATTAACATTGGACAAAAAAGTGAATTCAAGTATTGAAAATACTTGTTGCTTGTTTTCTGGATAGTCACTCCACTATTTTTTATTTAAAAAAAAAATAAATAAATATGAAAATGGCAACAATGTGATTAAGACCTTTAGATTATAAGATTAAGGGTGTGTTTAAAATTGTTGCTTGGTTCGTTTGGTCCGGACCAGAAAATAGCCATTTAGTCGTGGTCCGCTTAGGGGCTGTTTACACCTGGCCACTTCATGCGTTTTCTGTGATCGGATAGCTATCCGATCGTGAAAAGACCAGGTGTAAATGCCCTTCGAAACGCATTCGAGACGGATTTGAATCCGATCGCTCAAACCACATCAGGAGGTGGTCTGGGCCGCATTCCAGACGAAACTGGACAAGTGTAAATGCATCTGGTTGTTGAAACCACACATGTAAATTTTACTCCTCCCAAAAAATGCTAAAAAATAAACGTGTGAGAGCGTGTTATATAGGCTATATGTCATGTTATAGTCAGATATGATGACGCTACTGCAACACGCATTACCGCAGCTGAGCATCTCTTCATCAAGCCAACGTGCAAACTATCGCAAATCAAAGTGAAAGTAAGTCGCAGACGCTTAACACACAATCATCTTCATTAAAAGTAAAGAAACGAAATGATCTTACCAGGGCTGTTGCCGCTCTCTCTTATTGCTCTCTTTGATTTTGAAATTAGCTGATGATCAATAAAATGCAGCTCCTATCTGTTGCTTTCGGTGACGTGCACTCCATTAAATCTGCATATAGCGCGGGAATTGAAGATCGGATTTATATCCGTTTGGCAAAAACACATTTATGTGACCAGGTGTAAATGGAATCGTTTTGATAAATCAGATAGCTATCCGATCTGAGAAAACGCATGAAGTGGCCAGGTGTCTAAAGGAATCTAAAGATACCGAAAGGCATAGGGATACGTTCACAACCTGATTGGTCGACTTTTCTGACGAATATTTCACAACGGTACTTACCGAACATCCAAAACATTGCTATGTGCTGGTTTAAATGCGCTCGTTGTTTGTGCGTAGCCTACATATGATGGTATTTTGACCAGCGGAGAACTTGTGAAGAGTTTATAAAATTTGTAAAGGAGTCAAAACAACGACACGAATCCCTCCGTCACACACACAAGCGATCTGCTGTAAGGAGATGCGGTTCTGATCCTGTACCGAACTGAGATGGACAACATGATGAGAAAAACCGGTATGCTTGAACATTCTTTCCTTTTTAGGGTCGCATCTTGTGACATCACGTCCTGTTTTTGGTTCGTTTGCTTGTATTTGGTCCGTGTTGCGTTCATATTTCATTCGAACCGCTCCAAAGTTGATTTGGAAGCGGAGGAGACCCATCTTTTCAGCGGTCTCGGCCCGTTTGTTTGGTGCGCACCAGGGTTCAGATGGCAGCGTTCACACTTATTCAAATGAACCGCACTAACAGAGTAATCGCACCAGTTCATTTTAATCCAACCAAACATGCCAAGTGTGAACACACCCTAAAAGAACTTGTTTTGAGCTAGATTTTTCTCCTTTATATCATCTCAGACATCCTTATTTGTCATGAATTCTTATTGCTTGTATATTATAATGAACATCAGGCTGTTTTTACAAAGTAGCAATAAGATATGATCTTGGCTGTTTACACATTGAGTCAGAATCAAACTGATTTTAGATCAGTATAGTGCTATAAATGCATCAAGAAACTGTAAAACTGCAGGCACAGAGAAGTTAGTTTCTGCGTGTCAAGGAAAAAGAATGGGAGGAAGGGAATATTTGAAGAATGTGGGTCACGTGCAGACGGAGAACGAGCGTAAGGATCATGGTGTCACATGGATAAATGAGTCTGAGAGTGTCTGTGAAGTGCGTACGGAGTGATATGTGAAGCGAGCGTGTGTTTACATATTAAAGACTGTGGATGAATGTATGCACACCTCACTTCGTCTGTATTTTTGGTGCTATATGAACACACCTCTGCCCTCTCACTCCATCTTTATTTGTCAAGCACTGGAGTTTGTGAAGTCAGTTATTCTCAAGCAGCATTTGTTTGCCGATGCCTCATCGTTTGACATTCGGCAATCTAATGCACTGACATTTAACATTTTAAGTGTCGTTAAGTGTTCAAAAGTGTCCAGATACTTTTGGAGCCGACTGTGTATTCAGCATTATATCAGTTCAGGACCATACTGGAGCTTGTGAAGAGAACTTGTGTCCTCCTCATTTCCTTTAGGAGCTCATTTTGTCCGTCTCTGTCGTGACGTACCTGTGTGAGATGGCACTGAAGGGGCGACGCTGCTCTAGCATCGAGGGTGAAGATGGGGTCAGTGTTTATGCATGCAGAACGTTTCATCTCTTTATTCTCCCTCGCTCTTTCTCTGCAGTCGCCCCGGACAGCTGAAGCAGGAGGCTCAGTCGGTCATATCTCCCATATCTCCCGGAAATCTCCCCGAGGACCCCGAATGTCTCACGGTGCCCAAGTACAAGCGAGACCTGGTGCAGAAACTGAAGATCCTGAGGCAGGAGCTGTCCCAGCAGCAGCCTCAGGCGGGACACTGTCGCATCGAGGTTTCGCGTGAGGAGATCTTTGAGGTGAGAACGAACATCCATCCAAACAATCCTGATGAACTCATACTGATGAATGGTTTCTTTTCCAGCAGCAAATAATCAGTTTGGAAAATATATTTGCACACATTAAACACAGCTTATAATAAGGACGTGGTTATATTTCGGCCTTTTGACCATATTCAATATGTGTCTACACTACCATTTAAAAATTTGGGGTCAGTAAGATGTTTTCTTTCTTTTTTTTTTTAAGTAATACTTATATTCAGCAAGAATCACAGACATTTATAATGTTACAAAAGATTTCTAAAACTTTCTATTTATCAAAGTATCCTGAAACCAAATGTATCACAGGGCAAAAATTCCACAATATTAGTTCATACTGTATTTTTGATTGAATAACTGCAGCCTCTGTGAGCTTGGGAGACTTCTTTAAAAAACAAAATGTTCCAGACCCCAAACTTTAGAACAGTTTTTTAATCAGAGGAATAATCATATTAGCCATTGTAGCCACATAGATTCAAAATGTTTAATTTTGGAATTAGAACGCAGTAAAAATTCGAATTAAAAATAAATACTTTTTCCACTAGAAGGAATATTGAAAAATAAACGGTTTACCAACTAAATTACCAATCAATTTTATTCCATTGGCATATAAAAAATGTGAAAAAGCATAAACCTCCCTAAATTTCATCTTTCATCTTTTTGTACTGTAAAACAAGGCTAAAATACTGAGAAATCAAATGGTTTTAGACTCATTTATAGTCATCATCCATGTGGCACAAATTCAAATGCTCCTTATGATCTTTTTTCACCGTCACCGTTCCTGCCTCTTTTCATCAACATTTTTATTCTCTCTACTGCATGTCTATCCAATAGAGTCAAGTGGCCAAAACAAATAAAACTCAAAGAAATTTTCCATTTCTTTGGGCTATTTTTTATTTTTATTTGGGTTTTTTTTGTTGTTGTTTGTTTGTCTGTTTGTTTTTTGTGCACCCTGCAACCACTGAACCAATCACAAAGCAGCAGAATCCACTTCACTGTGACTCAGTTGTCAGCCCTGAGACGTGTCGTCAGCATGGAGGCAGATGGGTTCTCTGTTGTTGTTCGAGGGTGTTAGTTGCACCAGTAACACCTGTCAATCTGAACCAGACTGTAATAGCGCTATTTCAAAGCCCTAAGGCCTGGTTAACCTTTAGCGTTCCTAAGCCCTTTGAACTCAGCTGGATGTCACCCACAAATCAATTTACATGTGGAAAAAGCCATAATGCATCAGACATGATGTTAAACCTCATTAGCATGCAGCAAACACCATGCTGAGTTCAGCTAATGCGTGTAACATGTACTGCACACACTTCTGAGCCTCATCTTAGGCCTGTTGGAAAAACATTTATCCCCCCCTCGCTCAGCTTGAAGTGGTTTTTGTTCTGTGCGTCTGTTTGGTCATCTGCTTTGGGGTGTTTAAGGGTGTTGAGCTGGATACGCACAGGCATTTCTGGATGCTGCATTCCAACATGCTGCGCTCGTTTTTATTTATTGTGTTTTCTGCTCTTGTGCAGATACCAGGGTTATTATAGTTAAATAAAAGTACAATTAAATGGGTTTTTTTTTTACTTGAAATAAAATAAACATTAACCGAAATCAAATCAATTGTTTAAATAAATAAATTAGACTTATTCTATTGAAGCTAGTTGCCAAGGAATCATTTCTCATTTTCAACTAAAACTGAAACTGAATTAAAAATGAATAAAAACTATTTAAACAACAATAGCTAATAAAAATGACAAAAACACACAACAAAAGCTTTAGCTAAAAACGTTTCAATAAAATAATTAAAGCTATTAATAAAATCTATAATAGTATCTCAATGATACTAAAATAACACCAGCATATCAAATTTTGTTTATGACCCTTGACAATTATGTGAAAAAAGCAAAAGAAGTTTGAAATTAGTTTGTCACCAGAGTATTTACTAAGCCCTTAGTTTGAACTTTCCATCTCAATCATGACTGGTGCATCCTAATATACGTCTGTATAATCCAGTTGTAGATTTGTGACCTTTCTGTAACCCTTCATAAATTTCAACTCTGTGTCTCTACTATTTCCTTAGGAATCATACCGGCAGGTGATGAAGATGAGGCCGAAGGACCTGTGGAAGAGGTTAATGGTCAAGTTCAGAGGAGAGGAAGGTCTCGACTATGGTGGAGTCGCTAGGTATAAGTTTGAGTCGGAGCAAAAACATTCATTTAACTTTTGGCCCTCTAGTGGTTAAAAAGCAGATATAAAGAACATTGTTTTGGTTGTGCTTCGGCTCTGCCTGACTGTGATGTTTATGACTCTTCACTATAGATAATGCGCTTTAAAATGAACTCTGTTAGAGAGCTACATATGGCAATTTATCTGTTCAATAAAATACATAACTCACCTGTTGATTTATAATAACACCGACATCTCTGAGTTGCTTTTACAACGTTTCAAATCCCTCAGTTCTCGCCATCTCAGTCAATGTTGATTCTTGTTTCATTATGGACTCTGTTGCGTTCTTGCCAGCAGACTCTCCTCTGTTTGTCTCTTCTTCTTCTTTTTTTTTACGTGTGATTCCTGGAGTTTCAATATTTAGCTGCTCCATGTTCACCTTTCTCGCTTGTTGTGACAATTAGCCTATACCACTCCCACATGCGTCAAAGTAACTTTTCTCTATTTATGGATATGACCAGACAAGTGACGTATACAGCCCAGTCTTAAAGGGATACTCCACTTTTTTTGGAAATAGGCTCATTTTACAACTCCCCCAGAGTTAAACTGTTGAGTTTTACCGTTTTTGAATCCATTCAGCCGATCTCCGGTTCTGGCGGTACCACTTTTAGCATAGCTTAGCATACATCATTGAAGTGGACAAGACCATTAGCATTTCTAAAAAAAAAATGACCAAAGAGTTTCGATATTTTTCCTATTTAAAACTTGACTCTTCTGTAGTTACATCGTGCACTAAGACCGACGGAAAATGTAAAGTTGCGATTTTCTAGGCTGATATGGCTAGGAACTATACTCTCATTCCTGCGTAATAATCAAGAAACTTCACTGCCGTACCATGAGTGCAGCAGGTGTAATGATATGACGCAGCGCCTGAAAATAGGCTACCTTCCGTCAACAATTTTCAGGCGCTGCGTCATATCATTACGCCTGCTGCTCTCACGGTACGGCAGTGAAGTTTCTTGATTATTACTCAGGAATGAGAGTATAGTTCCTAGCCATATTAGCCTAGAAAATCGCAACTTTACATTTTCCGTCGGTCTTAGTGCACGATGTAACTACAGAAGAGTCAAGTTTTAAATAGGAAAAATATCGAAACTCTTTGGTGATTTTTGTTTGAGAACTGCTAATGGTCTTGTCCACTTCAATGATGTATGCTAAGCTATGCTAAAAGTGGTACCGCCAGAACCGGAGATCGGCTGAATGGATTCAAAAACGGTAAAACTCAACAGTTTAACTCTGGGAGAGTTGTAAAATGAGCCTATTTCCAAAAAAGTGGAGTATCCCTTTAAATATAAACACTAACAATAGGCTTACCATAGTGAACCAAGATTGATGATGTATTGACTCATTTTTTTTTTATTAACAAAATTTGAATGTTACATAGTGTGCTTTTAAATCTGAGTGTGAATCTGAAAATTTTAGTTTTCTTTCTAAATGCATGTTCCTGTTCTTATTGTAAATTATTCATCTGTGAACATTATTCAAAACGGCTTTCCTTTTCCTTTGATGAACAACCGGTTATCACTTTCCACAATCCAATCAATTCCAGATTGGTAAAATCAACTCCCAGCATACATTTTTGAATGTTTCCTGTTCAACTAATACATGTATCACAGTATGGCAGTAAAATGGGTTTTGAATGCAGTTTCCTTCTGACTTTTAAATCTTGTGTGTCCATCTAGTGGTAGGATTAGAGTATAACAATGTTACAGTGTGCCATGTTAGTCAAACCAAAATTTATTCAGACACCTTCAAGATTTCTCACATTATCACAGTTTATTCGCTATAGTTTAGAAAATGGTAATAAAATATGACAAGAACTCAAGAGTTATCGAATCAGTTGATATTTCACTGGTTTTGGCCATCCTTCTGTTAGACTGTTTCACAAATGAATTAGGTTGAATAGCTGTCAGCTGTTAAATTTAAGTACACAATGAGATAATGCCAATTTAGGTCAACCATTTACCAAGCAATGCTTAATTTTGTTTAGTCTGTGGCTGCGTTTACACTTGGCATTAACATGCGACCTGTATCCGGATGTTGTCCATATACACATTGAAAAGACAAGTGTAAACGCACTATCCGATCAGCGTGTCCAGGTTCGGAGGTAGTCGAGGACGCATTGTGATCGGATCTCAGTGTAATGTAAACGCAATCCAGCCATCGTGTCTGCATTCATAGGTGGACGTCATATAAATCCCCGCCCAGTCTCCCCGTCCCCGCGTGGCTGTCAGAAAATAATGGCCAGACGCAGTTTAGACAAGAAACTTTTTTTGAACCTTACAATAAACGTCAATCTTTAAAACAGTTTATTTAGACTTTAATGATACTATGTGTGTCATTTTTCATTTTAATTGTGCAACATTATCTGAACGAGGCGATCGCCTGTACAATCACAGTCAGTCATGAGATCTTAATGAAGAGCTGCACGCTGCTTTGCAGAGGAATAATCGGAATCGGAATTTTTTTAATGTTTTAAATGTTGAATGTTTTTATTGTTTCAGCATGTTTATCAATCTCCCATTTGTGTCAATATAGTCATTGCACGCTATAACCTTAAACCCAGATGATCGATGATGTGACTTGTTTGACATGATCAACCCAGTTATTTTTGTATGATCAACTCATGAAGTATTCCTTCGTTCAAAAAACTTATTTTGATCTAAGACTGGAGATTAAAGTGAGACAGTAAGACAGGAAAGTAAAGTGAGTGAGTGAAAGCAATTGGTACATTGTTTAATTGGTATCATCTTTTATGATCTTTAATCAAATATTATGCAGGAAACAGAAATCAGATCGGTTATCCAGATACAGAGGCTACTTAATGTGAACAAATGTAAACGCGCCATGTCCTGATTGGCTAATGATCCGATCAGCTTGATCGGATCACGGTGATCACATGTTAATGCCAAGTGTAAACGCAGCCATAGGTGTAAAAAGGTCGCTTTACCAATTAAAGAAAAACACTTAAGCAAAACACGGTCAGGTCAAAGTGTCTGAATAATTTTTGGTCTCAAATTTTTATAAATTTTACTGGTAGTAAATAATTTTTGCCTATAATATGTCACAGTTTACTTTATTTTGCTATTCTCACTTACATAAATGAACTATAGTGTCCTGGACCCACTAGTAAAAAAATAATGATATCTGCTGTCTGAATAATTTTAGGTTTGACTGTATATTAATAGTTTGTGCCAATATGTGTGTTTGTGTCATAGGGAGTGGTTATACTTGCTGTCGCACGAGATGTTAAATCCATACTACGGACTGTTCCAGTATTCCCGAGACGACATCTACACGCTACAGATCAACCCGGACTCTGCCGTTAATCCTGTGAGTGGACCTGGAGCTGAAGCAGATATTCCTTGAAATCAAGCACTTTACAAATAACGCTCACCTTTTATGTTTTTTTTGTTTTTCTTAGGAGCATCTGTCCTATTTCCACTTTGTGGGGAGGATTATGGGAATGGCTGTTTTCCACGGCCACTATATAGACGGAGGCTTCACTCTGCCTTTCTACAAGCAGTTGCTCGGGAAACCCATCACTCTGGATGACATGGAGTCAGTGGATCCAGACCTCCACAACAGCCTCGTTTGGATCCTGTCAGTGTGCTTTATACATCCATACTCCATTACAATATACACTCTCAAAGATGAACTGTAAAACAATTATTACTCTGGCTGTATTTTCAGCAGAACATGGCCTGGAATGATTCATGAGAAAAATATGTCTATGCTTCATAATAATAGTAATAATAAAATGATAGTATGTTATATATTTATATATATATATATATATATATATATATATATATATATATATACCATTAAATCCAATTACTTAAAGTGGGACCAATGGAGAGTTGGTCCCACTTTATATTAGGTGTCTTAACTACAATGTGCCTATGTCAAAAATGTGTTGAATACAATGTACTTATTTTGTTCATATTGTATTGCAAAACACATTTTCAGCTTTTGAGGTGGGATGTGGTTGGTCGACAGTAAAATTAGAGATGTATTTACAGACATTAATTACGATGCAGGTATTTTTTAATATAAGTAAAAACATTTATATTTGCTTGTAGATATATAGAGAGTTGACAAAAAAAAAACTTTTATACAATTTCATTCATATTAATGTACAAGGAAAAGTGTCTATTTTTTATTTAAAATACAATTGATAATTGTAATCACAAGTTTTGATCACATTTTGTGATATTTTGTCTATAATAATCTTTTTTTTCTTGTGTGTATTTAGAGATAATGACATCACGGGGGTGTTGGACCACACGTTCTGCGTAGAACACAATGCATACGGAGAGATCATTCAGCATGAGCTGAAACCCAACGGCAAGAGCATCGCCGTCACCCAGGACACCAAGAAGGAGTATGTGAGGTGAGCGTGGGGTAGAGCTGTCTTTCAACACCTTCCTCGTCCCTGCAGCTGGTTTTAAGTTGTAATGTCTTGCGCCTGTTTTTGCACAGGCTGTATGTGAACTGGCGGTTCCTGAGGGGCATCGAGGCTCAGTTCCTGGCCCTGCAGAAAGGCTTTAATGAGGTCATCCCACAACATCTACTCAAGGCGTTTGATGAGAAAGAGTTGGAGGTATGAAAACATCAGTCCTTCAAAGTTGCCATTGCCAGCCTTAACATTGAGCAGGGTTCAAGTGTTTCTCTTACTTTCAGCTTATTGTGTGTGGACTGGGGAAGATCGATATCAACGACTGGAAGTCTAACACCCGTCTGAAGCACTGCACGCCTGACAGTAACATCGTGAAGTGGTTCTGGCGGGCCGTGGAGTCGTACGACGAGGAGCGGAGAGCCAGACTGCTGCAGTTCGTCACCGGCTCCTCCAGAGTCCCGCTGCAAGGATTCAAAGCCCTGCAAGGTACCTGAGGTTTCTCATTCAGGATATCTGGAAAGGAAGCTCAGACGTGTGTACAGTTACATCAATTTGATACATATAACATGGGCTAATCTATTTTATGATAGATAGATAGATAGATAGATAGATAGATAGATAGATAGATAGATAGATAGATAGATAGATAGATAGATAGATAGATAGATAGATAGATAGATAGATAGACCAGGGGTAGGCAAGTTCGGTCCTAGAGAGCCGCTGTCCTGCAGAATTTAGTTCCAACCCTAATCAAACACACCTGAACAAGCTAATCAATGTCTTCAGGATTACTAAGGCTATAGGCAGGAGAGGTTTTTTCAGTGTTGGAGCCAAACTCTGCAGGACAGCGGTTCTCTAGGACCGAACTTGCCTACCCCTCAGATAGACAGACAGACAAACAGATGGATGGATAGATGGATGGATGGATGATAGGCAGAAGGACAGACGTTAGATAGATATATAGACAGACAGACAGATGGATGGATGATAGGCAGAAGGACAGACGATAGATAGATATATAGACAGACAGACAGATGGATGGATGATAGGCAGAAGGACAGACGATAGATATATATAAAGACAGACAGACAGATGGATGGATGATAGGCAGAAGGACAGATGATAGATAGATATAGACAGACAGACAGATGGATGGATGATAGGCAGAAGGACAGATGATAGATAGATATATAGACAGACAGACAGATGGATGGATGATAGGCAGAAGGACAGACGATAGATAGATATATAGACAGACAGACAGATGGATGGATGATAGGCAGAAGGACAGACGATAGATAGATATATAGACAGACAGACAGATGGATGGATGATAGGCAGAAGGACAGACGATAGATAGATATATAGACAGACAGACAGATGGATGGATGATAGGCAGAAGGACAGACGATAGATAGATATAGACAGACAGACAGATGGATGGATGATAGGCAGAAGGACAGATGATAGATAGATATATAGACAGACAGACAGATGGATGGATGATAGGCAGAAGGACAGACGATAGATAGATATATAGACAGACAGACAGATGGATGGATGATAGGCAGAAGGACAGACGATAGATAGATATATAGACAGACAGACAGATGGATGGATGATAGGCAGAAGGACAGACGATAGATAGATATATAGACAGACAGACAGATGGATGGATGATAGGCAGAAGGACAGACGATAGATAGATATATAGACAGACAGACAGATGGATGGATGATAGGCAGAAGGACAGATGATAGATAGATATATAGACAGACAGACAGATGGATGGATGATAGGCAGAAGGACAGATGATAGATAGATATATAGACAGACAGACAGATGGATGGATGATAGGCAGAAGGACAGACGATAGATAGATATATAGAGAGACAGAGATGGATGGATGATAGGCAGAAGGACAGACGATAGATAGATAGATATATAGACAGACAGACAGATGGATGGATGATAGGCAGAAGGACAGACGATAGATAGATATATACACAGACAGACAGATGGATGTATGATAGGCAGAAGGACAGACGATAGATAGATAGATAGATAGATAGATAGATAGATAGATAGATAGATAGATAGATAGATAGATAGATAGATAGATAGATAGATAGATAGATAGATAGATAGATAGACAGACAGACAGATGGATGGATGATAGGCAGAAGGACAGACGATAGATAGATATATAGACAGACAGACAGATGGATGGATGATAGGCAGAAGGACAGACGATAGATAGATATATAGACAGACAGACAGATGGATGGATGATAGGCAGAAGGACAGACGATAGATAGATAGATAGACAGACAGATGGATGGATGATAGGCAGAAGGACAGACGATAGATAGATAGATAGATAGATAGATAGATAGATAGATAGATAGATAGATAGATAGATAGATAGATAGATAGATAGATAGATAGATAGATAGACAGACAGATGGATGATAGGCAGAAGGACAGACGATAGATAGATAGATAGATAGATAGATAGATAGATAGATAGATATATAGACAGACAGACAGATGGATGGATGATAGGCAGAAGGACAGACGATAGATAGATATATAGACAGACAGACAGATGGATGGATGATAGGCAGAAGGACAGACGATAGATATATATAAAGACAGACAGACGGATGGATGGATGATAGGCAGAAGGACAGACGATAGATAGATATATAGACAGACAGACAGATGGATGGATGATAGGCAGAAGGACAGACGATAGATAGATATAAAGACAGACAGACAGACGGATGGATGATAGGCAGAAGGACAGACGATAGATATATATAAAGACAGACAGACGGATGGATGGATGATAGGCAGAAGGACAGACGATAGATAGATATATAGACAGACAGACAGATGGATGGATGATAGGCAGAAGGACAGACGATAGATAGATATATAGACAGACAGACAGATGGATGGATGATAGGCAGAAGGACAGACGATAGATAGATATATAGAGAGACAGAGATGGATGGATGATAGGCAGAAGGACAGACGATAGATAGATATATAGACAGACAGACAGATGGATGGATGATAGGCAGAAGGACAGACGATAGATAGATATATAGACAGACAGACAGATGGATGGATGATAGGCAGAAGGACAGACGATAGATAGATATATAGACAGACAGACAGATGGATGGATGATAGGCAGAAGGACAGACGATAGATAGATATATAGACAGACAGACGGATGGATGGATGATAGGCAGAAGGACAGATGATAGATAGATATAAAGACAGACAGACAGACGGATGGATGATAGGCAGAAGGACAGACGATAGATAGATATATAGACAGACAGACAGATGGATGGATGATAGGCAGAAGGACAGACGATAGATAGATAGACAGACAGATGGATGGATGATAGGCAGAAGGACAGACGATAGATAGATAGATAGATAGATAGATAGATAGATAGATAGATAGATAGATAGATAGATAGATAGATAGATAGATAGATAGATAGATAGATAGATAGATAGATGGTTTTGAGCAAGAGTCTATCCTGGAAATATGGTCAAGTGTCTTGGTTATCACATATCCCACATATGTGTTTGTACTAAAACGCTGTATGATCAGGTGCCGCTGGACCACGACTCTTCACCATTCACCAGATTGATGCCAGCACCAACAACCTGCCCAAAGCACACACTTGGTGAGCACATTTCTTTTTCAAATGGCAATATTTAGAGAGCAGTGAGACGTATACAAAATTGTATTATCATTTTGTTTTTTATATTTCCTTTATATTAAATTGTAGAAATATTTAAAGTATTATACACTACCATTGAAACATTTGCAGTCAGTAAGATGTTTTTGAAAAAATTCATACTTTTATTCAGCAAAGACATTGCATTGCTCAAAAGTGACAGTAAAGACGTTTGTAATGTTACAAAAGATTTCTTTTAAAAAAATAAATGTTGTTTTAAACTTTCTATTCATCAAAGAATCCTCAACAAAATTAACACAACTGCAAATCCAAATCACAAAAGCACAATTCCAAATCAATTGGAATGATTTCTGAAGGATCATGTGACACTGAAGACTGGAGTAATGCTGAAAATACAGCTTTGATCACAGGAATAAATTGCATTTTAAAATATATTCAAAAAGAATAAAGTTATTTTCAATTTTAATAATATTTCACACTATGTATTCTGTTTTTGCTGTATTTTGATCAAATAAATGCAGCCGTAGTGAGATTAAGAGGCTTCTTTCAAAAAATCTTATAGACCACAACATTTTGAAATGGTAGTGTATAAATATAGAAAAATATTTTTTCAAACAGATAATTGACATAGGCTGTCTGTAGATTTTGAAGCTGATGCAAGGAAGTGCCAACACTTGTACCAAATGTTTTCACCTGATACAATAATCAGTAAATAAATCGCCATGTCATTGATACAAACTACTAACATTTTCTGCACTCAGACTCACTAATTCACCAATGCCGTTTGTTTCTTTTCAACTTCACCTCAGCTTCAACCGTATCGACATTCCTCCATACGAGAACCACGATAAACTCTACGACAAACTGCTGACGGCCATCGAGGAGACCTGCGGCTTCGCTGTGGAATGATGGGCAGCGGCCAGTGCTCGCAGAGGAACCTTTCTCCAGGCGGGACAGTCCTGTCAGACAGCCGACAGGGCCTCACGAGGACGCTCCGACGGAAGGGTGGATTACACCGCAGCATTCAACGCCTGATGCTGCTATACAGATCTTTCTGCATTATTTGAAAAGAAGAGAAGAAAACAGTGAATCTTTTCAGCTGCTAGTAACTCTTTAACTCACTATTTTGGAACCTCCTCTTCCTCTTTTTTTCAATTCTTTTTAAGTCCATACTTTGATTATTAGCATTAAGACAACATATTAACAGTATTTCATGTAGCATTTTCACAGACTAGACTTTAGGAGAGGCCGAACTTTAGCAGGGCACGCAGAACAAAAGCGTCCCGGCATAAGCTTACGTAGAAGCACTACTGTCCTTACCGAAGACGAGACGAGAGGAAGATGCCAATGTCAACAACAAAAAAAAGTTTGTCATTTGGGACTTGAAACTTTTGTTGTTGCACAGGGTGCTGATGTTCGGCCCGCTTGGACTTTAGCAAGCCGCGAGACGACCTTCCTCTCGATCAGGGAACTGGGCTGACTCATAAGCTTGTTGAAAGTGAACGAACGAATACATGAAATCTTAGGTAGGTAGGTAGGTAGTCTAGCTTTATTTTTATACGGTGTGACAGGACGAGGTTAAAAGAATAAAATTATACAGATATAATATATTGGCATCGTCGCAGGAACCGTTGCCGATGTTTCCAGAGCAAAAAAGGATGTGCCCAATGAAAAAGGCTTCAATAAGGTTGGCATTGGCTTGCTTTGAATGTCTGACAAGTTTTTTTTCTTTTTTTTTTTTTTTAGAAAACTAAAAATTGTGAAGAAAAACATTTAAATATGCATTATTGGTGTCAACTTTTTTGGTAATGGAATTCTAATTCGTCTCGGATGTCAACTGAACCCTTTAAAAGATTTAAATATGATGAATATGTATGAGCATGTTAATGAGATGTGAAATGTCTTCCATTTCATACCTTCTCATTAAATTCTTACAGTTTTTTTTTTTTTTTTTTCATAAAAGAAGTAAATGCATTTGTTTACCCCTCATGGAAATCAAGGGAGATGAGTGTCTGTATCACTTGTTATTTTTGTGATTTATTATTAACCCATTGTAGTACCAATTTACTGAACTTTTTACCATGCAAAAATGTCACTGGCCTTCAGTGAGCATTACAGAGACGAACTGCAAGGAGGATCGCTGTACTAAAGAACAAGAAACAATTCTATCTTTTATATAAATACAACAGCTTTAGGTGTAAATCTAGCAGAAAACAGCAAAAGCATGTCTGATGTGCTCTTTGTAAGCCTCCGAAATGCACAGCTTGAAAACCTGTTTCTTCAGGATTATTAAAAGAAACTGCATAAATAAACAAATGCAGTTTTATATATATATATATATAAATATAAATATATATATTGTTGAATGTTTCTGAGATGCTGCCTGTCTATAGCAATCCTCTATGACCATGGACTGTTGTTAAGAGTTTGCATACGCTGAAAATGAGCTATACATCTTTTGTTACTTTTTTTTATAAATTTGAGTGTGAAAGAAGGTGAAAAAAATAATAAAAAAGCCTCTGGATGGATCAGTTAAATATTCTGAGATGGTGCTTTGTATAGTTATAGAGTATTGTTCATATATGTGAGTCACTGACTGTCATTTATCTTTAATTTAATTAGATTTGAAAGAAAAAAATACACTTTGCACACACACTATATAATGGCTGTATATAATAGGCAAAAAAATATATATATTTACCAAACTCTTTATGGACTGAATGATTATATATTTCATTTAAATCTGGTGCACACACAAAGATCTCTTCGTTTTCTCTTCTTTTAAGCTTTTTTTTTTAACTGTATAGTTAAATAGGCCTCCATTTGAACTGGATGCCCTGTTGACATTGAGAGGGTCGTTCCTTTATAGCATGATTTACTAGCAACACTTTTAACTTTCATAGCTGACCGGTGCAATTTGCTAAATGTAACACACACTATAATTTTTTGTAAGAGTGTTTTATTTTTGTGTGTAATTAGATCTGATTAAACTTGCCTTCCTGATGGGATCACTGTGGCCGTCTGGTTCTGTATGATTGTGTCTGAATGATGCAAAAAAAATATTCCTTTATGAGGTATCAACCAATCATTCCAGTAATTGAGTTAAATTGTGTTAAAAGGGGTTACAACCTTGATGCATTGCCTTACTGCAATACGAATGATTGCAAATACAACAGTATCAGGTTTGGTATTGTGGCAAAATAGTGCTTCACAATCATTTTGTGACACCAAAGTGGGCTATTAAACACCATCTTGGAACAAAGGGGCTGATGCCACAATTAGAATAAGAAAGACATTTTTCTCCATCCTGAAACGTGGGGGAAGGTGTGAATATTCCCCTTTTAGCAAGTATTCTAGGTGTCTGACTTGATTTGTCCAAATCTAAAGACAGACTTAACTTTTTACCTTTTACACAATGTAATGTAACCCAAAATGAGAGCATTCCCAATAAACTGCTTGTTTATTACATAAGTGTACGATACCAATCACAAGTTTGACCTCACCTAGGCCTACCTCTTTCACATTTTTATAATACTAGTTAAATCATCATAGCTATGAAATAACACAAATGAACAGATATTTGTGATTATACATGTAAAAAAAAACATATTCAGTTCAATCTAGATTGCAGTTCCTATCCCCGTATTATATTTTTATAGTATAAAATGAACATAGGCCCAGTTTGCATTTATCTACAAAACTAAGAGTTGTTTGGATTGTTGTCCTAAACCTGGAGGAAGTCTTTGGTTCCCTTTGGAGTATGTATATATAGGTTTTGAGGACAACAGTTTAGCATTTATAAATAAGACAATGCCTGTGTTTATTATTATAACTTAAAGAGACTTTCACAGGGTTTAAAATATTTTTTAAAAGCATTTAACTCTCTATAGCCAGTTAAATTCAACGTTTTGCATTGTCAACTACTGTTCACTAATAAAAAAAGTGCCATCATACTGCCATGTTTTTGGACATGTACCATGGTAAGGTCAAGAACTTAAGAGTTCAATCAATGTAAATACCATGAAGTATGAATATGTAAATCATGCATTACCATCTGATATAATCATTTTATAATGGTACCGTCACAATAGCTTTTGCAGTGGTTTGATAACAAATATTATCCTAAAACATGAATCTTAAATCTACTTAGACATTCTCTGGTCTAATCTCCAAACGCGCATGCTCGGCGACGAGTACGCGCGAACGTCAGAAAGACGTCAGCAGTTTTCCGGAAGCCACTTCCTCTTCCTATAAAACTCGGCGAGTGCACGGTCTTATCGACGTTCACAAGCACAGTCACTGCGCATTACTGGGGAAAAGAACGTTCGAGTATTTATTTTTTAATTTATAATCTCAGATTACAAAAAATGCCTGGATATTCCGACAGAGACCGCGGTCGCGACAGAGGGTAAGAGTTTTTTGGGTTTTTGGGGTTTTTCGTAGGAAAATTTGTGATCAATTAAAATATTAATCCGCTGCTTTTTTGTTTTTATTTAATTTTTGTGTCTGTTAATCGATTATTTTCACGATATATCGAATCAGTTTGCTATCCGTTTTGTTTTAGGATTAAATCTGACCGAATGTGTGTTGTTGTATAATGGGGATGCGTAGGTAACGTTTCGAATCCGTTTTTTTCGATAGAAATCGTGTGGAAAAGGCGTGTCTGTTGTTTTAACTTGTAAAATATGTCATAAACGTCGAAAATACCCATGTTCATGTTACATTTAACATGAACCTCGTAGTTTTATATCGTTTTAAGGCCTCGTCGGGCCATGTGGCCGTGATGTTATAAAATGCCGGCCGGTTTTTCCTCTTTGTCTCCTGCCGGTAGGAAATAAAATGGCAGCGGCGTTAAAACGTGGCGCAGAAAAGAATTCACGATGTCAATCGAAACCAGAGCTTTTGTCATCTATTATTCAGACCTTTTGTGTTTTGTTTACCGGTCATTTGTTGTTTTTGTCAAGTAATAAGCACAGAAGTCCACGTACCATGTTTTTTATGTTACCATGGCATACCTATGCTATGACTGTATGGCGTATTTATCAAAAATGTTACGGAAATGCAATTTGACATGGTACTAGCATATTTGTGTTTTGTAAGTATAGTACACACAATTTCCGTGTTTTGGGGGGTTATTAAACGAAGGTCTCCCAAAACTCTGAAATGTGCATCACTCTTAAAATATTGGGGCAATTGTCGTGTGTGTGTGTGTGTAACGAGACATATATATATATATATATATATACACACGTACATACTCTGGCATCCACCAATTAATTTTGTTGCGTCCAAATGTTTTAATATAATGCTCTTTATTTACCAGTAGCTACAGCAGTGGCCCCCCACGCTTTGGAGGCAGCAGAAATGGACCTCCTCAGGGCAAGAAGTTTGGGAATCCAGGTGACCGTCTGCGGAAAAAGCACTGGAACCTGGATGAGCTCCCTAAGTTTGAGAAGAACTTCTACCAGGAGCACCATGAGGTTTCTCGGAGGTTACCTGTAAGTAAACGCACAATGGTTGGTTGTGATTTAATTTTTTTTTTCCTCAGTTGGAGATTTTAAAGATGTGGCTTGTCTTTTGTATTGCAGCAAGATGTTGAACACTACAGGAGAACCAAAGAGATCACAGTGAAGGGTCGAGACTGTCCCAAACCCATCATGAAATTCCATGAAGCAAGCTTTCCAAGTATGTTAGTGTTGAGTGTTAAATTTTAAAATGTTCAATATTGAATTTTGCAAGTTTAAACTAACCATTTGTTCTGTTTTATGCAGACTATGTGATGGATGTGATCACAAAACAGAACTGGACTGATCCAACCCCCATCCAAGCTCAGGGGTGGCCAGTTGCACTTAGTGGCAAAGATCTGGTCGGCATTGCACAGACCGGCTCGGGAAAAACCCTCTCGGTATGACGTTTATGAATTATCCTGTCATATAATTTCTAGTTGAGTCATTTCAACAGGTTTTAATGAGTTTTATTCTACAGTACTTGCTTCCTGCTATTGTTCACATAAACCACCAACCATTCCTGGAGCACGGAGATGGGCCCATTGTAAGTTCAACTATCTGTCAAGCGTAAATCTGAATCGGTTTCTTAAAATCAGCACTTTAATCAGGTGTTTTTCTCTTTAGTGCTTAGTGTTGGCTCCCACCCGTGAGTTGGCACAGCAGGTCCAGCAGGTGGCGGCAGAGTACGGCAAAGCTTCTCGTCTGAAGACCACCTGCATCTATGGAGGCGCGCCCAAAGGACCACAAATCCGGGACCTGGAAAGGGGTACGAGTGGAACCGAGCTTGAATCTCTTTGGAACGCTTTTTAATAGTGTGCTAAATTTGTCTTTTCTACTGCTTTTTCAGGAGTTGAGATCTGTATTGCCACACCTGGAAGGCTTATTGATTTCCTAGAGGTCGGAAAAACAAATCTGCGCAGATGCACGTATCTTGTGCTGGACGAAGCTGACAGGATGCTTGACATGGGTTTTGAACCTCAGATTCGGAAAATCTTGGACCAAATTAGAGTATGTATTTTGGTGTATTTTAATGTACTCATAGCTGTTATTTCTTGAAAAATGGTTATAAAAATGTGCTTCCTCCTGTAGCCAGACCGACAGACTCTTATGTGGAGTGCTACGTGGCCCAAAGAGGTGAGGCAGCTGGCTGAGGACTTCCTGAAGGAGTATGTACAGATCAACGTTGGTGCTCTGCAGCTCAGCGCCAACCACAACATCCTACAGATTGTCGATGTTTGCAATGATGGCGAGAAAGAGGACAAGTGAGTGCTGGGAACATTAGGGGTGACTAAAGTTTGGTTTTGATGGCTGTGTGAGGGAATGCATGACGACGAACTTGTTCAATTCCAGACTGATACGTCTGCTGGAGGAAATCATGAGTGAGAAGGAGAACAAGACCATTATCTTTGTGGAGACCAAAAGGAGGTGTGATGATCTTACTAGGAGGATGCGTAGGGATGGGTAAGATGACCTTCTCTGCTCTGCTGTGTTACGATTGCTTTGTGTGAATGTCAAATGGAGGAATTTCATTGGCTTTTTCTGTTGCAGGTGGCCAGCAATGGGTATCCATGGAGACAAAAGCCAGCAGGAAAGAGATTGGGTGCTCAATGGTACGTATTTGCCATAAAGGTCTTGGATCATCAACTCATTCTTGGTTAATTCTCTTGATTTGACTTGTTTTCCTACTTCAACAGAATTCAAATATGGAAAAGCGCCCATCCTCATTGCCACAGATGTCGCCTCCAGAGGACTAGGTTTGTTACTTCTCAATATGTTCTTTAACACTTTCATATTGTGTTTTCTATGAAGTTCTGCCGTTTCCTTTTAACTGCTGTGCCTTTCTGAGCCCCTCTCACCTGAAGGTGGAGTCTTGGAGGCAGGACCTTGGCATGACGCGTCCAGGTTCACCAGGAGGGGGTAAGGAGCTCCTCTGTGGAGTTCTGCCTGTCTGCCAGCCAATCAAATTGCATTCAGAGGTGGTCGGAGCTCTGTGATTGGGGCGTAATCCAAGGGGCGGCATACCATGGAGGAGTGCGGCGCCGTTGGGTGGTCGCACTTGCGTCCTGCTCGCATCTGCTCTCGCGCAACAGCTTGAACTGTTGAACTTTTAAGTATAAGGACTGGGCGTTTACGTAATAGGACGTGTCTTGTATAAAATTTTAGTGTTTTGCCATCGAGAGCAGTTGCTTTAATCTACATGCCTCCGCACTGAATGCGATTACCCGGCTGGTCGATGCGTGCCCTCCTTTTGCTGGCTTCAGTCATGTCGAGTCCTGCCAAAGAGAATCATATTTTCTTTCAAGTGAGCACCGGTTGGTTGGAAAGCTTGCGTCAGCCTTAAATTTAAGCCCTTAATCGGTCTTGTTTTTGAGCAAGTTGAGTCTTGGCAAGATGCAGCAGTTTGTCTTGTCACTTTTTAATAGAGGACAATGTTAACTGTCATTTGGATCCTTAAGTCCTGATTTTTAACCATCCTTTCCTCAGCATGGTAAGTCGATGACCTATCAATCATTTGTTTCCCTTGCTAACGTCTATTATTCTCGCTGCTGTGGCGGTGTGCACCCGCACTCCTCTATTCCTGCCATGGCACGTCCATTTTCTCTTAACAGATGTGGAGGACGTCAAATTTGTCATTAACTATGACTACCCCAACAATTCCGAGGACTACATTCACCGCATTGGCCGTACGGCTCGCAGTCAGAAAACTGGCACGGCGTACACTTTCTTTACGCCCAACAACATGAAACAGGCTCACGACCTCGTCTCTGTCCTCCGGGAGGCCAACCAAGCCATAAACCCCAAGCTCATCCAAATGGCCGAAGACAGAGGAGGTAAATCCAATTGGTGAGATACAAGAACTGTGGTTTACCTTCACAGTTTTGTCCTTCATAATCTCTCTAGAAAGGGAAAGGCTCGGATTTAGTTTGACCTGTCTGCGAATCCTACTGTAACTCCTAATTTCTTTTCCAGGTCGTTCAAGGGGAGGGCGAGGTGGGGGGTTTAGGGACGACCGTCGGGATCGCCACTCCAGCAGCAGGCGGGACTTCAACAGCTACAGCCAGGACAACCGTAATGGTGGTGACTCTTATGGGCAAAAGAAGGTGTTTGGAAACAAGACTCAAAACGGATCTACTGGCTACAACGGCAGCGGCAGTAGCAGCTTTAATGGGGGTTACAGCAATAACGGACAGGGTAGTTTTGGCAATCAGTCTGGTGGCTATGGAAACCAAGGCTATCAGAACCAGCAGTTTGGTCCCAATCAAGGGAGCGTTCAGAGCAGCATGAACCACCCTCCACCGTTCCCCTTTAACCCTCAACAGATGCAACAGTCCATGCCGTTCCCCATGGCCCCTCCTGCATTCCCTCAGTAAATGCAGTTTCATTTAGCGAATCTTAATCTTTCATTGTTCTGTTCACGTAACCTTATTTCTTCAAAGCAGGTTGTAAAATGTACATGCTGTGCAGGATATTTTTTTTCCCCTGCCCTCCCCCTTTTTGTTAGTTGTATTTCTTTTTTTTAGTAACTTAAAGTTATTTTGTACTATGTAGAGGTAATGAAGGATCTACACTTGTAAAAATGTCAAGGGCCATAAATGGCTATTGCATGGTCCTCGAATAAAATATTAAATTACTTTTGTGTCTGTCCATTCATGCTTTCCTGCTAATCTGCAGCTTTTAGTTCACAAGTCACAATGTGTTAATGGATCTTGTATTGCCTGAGGGTATATAATTAAAGGAGAGCAAAAATAATAGATTGTTAAGTGTGCTAAATGAAAAGGAACTGATTTAAGATCCAGCCTTTTTTTTTTTTTTATTTAAAATAAATGTAATTAAATTTGAAGGTGAAGAGTACCATAACTCTTAGTGATTATTGGGTTATGTTTAAATAAACTAACTTCCAAAAAAGTAACTGAGCTTATGTTTTTTACATTTTTGCTCCTAATAATGGCTTCCCTTATGAATGAAGATTAAAAGCTATAATTCTACCATTTATAATTTGATAATATTTCACGAATAAATATAATGCCAATAAGTAATGTTCATCTTCCTCTGATTAATCCACAACTTGTGTTCTTTTGAACATTGATAACACCAATTAAATGTGATCTAGGGATAAACATTCATTCAAATGATTTATTTGTGCACTTGGGGGGCCTTGCACTAATGCTTAACCTGGAAAAACAGGTTTTCACTAAAATATTAAGCAGCACAATTATTTTTTAACATTTTGGATGTTAATGTAAATGTGTTGCTGAAGTGATCTACCAGATGAAGGGATTTTAAAAGCCACCTAGCAACTTCAGTTAATGTGCAAAACAATATGGTGGCATTCAGTTGCATTAAAATGTTAGAATATTTGAATGCCTTCTAAATTTGATTTCTTGAATATTTAAAATATTTTTCATGACTGCCATGGAACACATTTATGAACGTCTTGACTAGTTGTGAGGAGAATGCTCTCAATGACTACATGTCTTGCATTGACTTAAGGCTGATTCTTACAGACTCATGGTCACGAGTGACACTGCAAAAGTCACTTGCTAAATGGCAACGTATTGAATTGGTATCATTTGTGATTATGTGAAAACCCAAATTTGATGGCTGTGTGTGGCCTGGTAAACTACATTATGGGGCCAAATTGTCCCCACAAAGATGGTAATATCTGAAATCCTTGTCCTTGTGGGGACATTTTTTGGTCCCCATGAGGAAAGGCTAATAAATCATAAGTAATGTTTTTTGAAAATGTAAAAGTGCAGAAAGTTTTCTGTGATGGGTAGGGTTGTTGTAAAAAGGATATAATATACAGTTTGTATGATATAATAATGATTATGTCTATGTAAAGTCCTCATAAAACATAAAAACACAATGTGTGTTAATGCTATTATGCTGATTTATATCTAATTACGTATCATCTATGTATGTATCTGTCTGTCTGTCTAACTATCTATCTAGGCCCTGATGAGCTGTAGGTGTATTTATAGGTGTGTATATATTTTTATACAATAATTATTGTTTTGCCTTTTTTTCAGTAACAGCTTCAATACTGCGAATTTTTATAATAGGCCTATTGTATATCATATTTTTGCAATATACTTCTATAGTATGGTTTTGGAAAGGTTAGAAACTTTTTAGACGTGGAAAGTGGTGGGAAATAAATGAGCCAACGCTGTAAAAAAAAAAAAAAAAAAAAAAGGTTTATTGTCATCTCTGGTTCCATGAAGAAACTTTCCATTAAAAATAATTATAATATTTTTATTAATTATAGTAAAAAAAAAAAGGGGGGTCTTTCGAATGTTGTTCACTTGGGGGGAAAGGGGCTCTTTTAAGAACTTTTCACTGAACTGTTCTTCTGCGACAAAAAAAACAACGTTATTTTAAGAGTGAATTTACTGTCGTGTGTAACTACAGAATATCGTGTGCATCCTCTCCCGTGTTTAAAGTGTCATCGGAAATCCTGAATTCGCCCCAGACCAATAATAAGGCTAATTTCATGCCAATAACTTGTCATAAAGAGAGATAACGAATGAGTATAATACATATAAGGATATAGTGGGTGTGGGTGGGTTCAACTTTAATTTACCTGTAAGGAAGTCACGCGCAATAGTCGGTTCAGAGTCCTCGCGCTTCAGTAGTGCGCGCGCGAGCTAGAGCGTGTTCAGTTCAGTTCAGTTTCCTGGCGATTGTAGTCAACAGTGAGAAGCACACACAGAGAAACGCTACATGCGTTGAGAAACACGAGAATTGACTGACACATGCAGGAGCAGCATGGGGAGATCATTACTGTCTGTCAGGTAAGATACTTCACTGCTCAAGTTTTTGCTGGTTTGATGATGTTGTAAATATCGTAACCAGTAATGTCAAATTAAGTGCACTTTGTGAGCTGTCTACTAGTCAAATGGGCTTTAAATGTCGTTAGTTCACCCTGCCTCGATATGAATCCTAGACAGATTTGATTTTTTTTTTCAATGATGAATGCCAACAACGTTTCAGGATGTTGATGTCAGATTATGTGGAAAATACACAATTTAATGATGGCCCATGCAGGAGCACAAAAATAGTTAAAAAGAAGTATTTATAGTATATTTTCTATAATATTCCACACAATTGAAAGAATTATTTCCAAATGCCAATAGCCTATTCTTAAAAAAAGAAAAAGAAATGTAGACAGTTTTGGCTGATGTATCATAGATCCGTAAGGTTTCAAGATTTCAAACTGTATTTGTAAACCCTTGTATTATGTTATAAGTAAAAAATTTACAACAATATTGATTGGACATGCACAACATATTTTAAATTCGGCATGAAACAGGAGTTATTTCCTCTTTTTTTGTGATGAATATAGTGAAACAGCTTCTTAAACAGAAAAAAAGTAGGATGGAACTTGATTTTGGCCATGAGGAATTGATTGGATGGTTGGGTCATTGTCATTTGCTATTGGTGTGATGTCATGTGAGTGACCTGTTGTTCCACCCTCACGCAAGTAAACACAGAGAGAAGATGCAAGAGGGAGGGTTATTTTAGTTATTTTTATTAAAGATTACGAGGGCAAATAAAATTATCTGCACAGATAAGTCATATATAATAAATACTGCAATATTTCATTAAAAAAATAAGAATAGTCCATTTTGATATGATGACTTTAATAACTAGGCAAACATACTATATAACTTATATAGGCAAAAGAAGGAGAGACAGACTATATAGGACTTCTGTATAGGATCATATCCATGTGTGTGCATGTGTATTCAATGTATATAATGCCTTTTTTTTTTACTTTCAGACAAGTTCTTGTCAGGACAGTTTTTATTTTCATTTTTATTTGTATTCTATAATATTATCCAGTTTATCTTCCTTCTCAAATGTTCTATATAATTTTTCCCACGGAGAGAAAAAATATTTTACAGCATTTTGTCTCAGAGTTCAGCTAAAAAGCAGAGTTATGCAGCCCTCAATGCCAGAATAGCTCCTAAACCACAGAGCAGCGAAAAAAACTACAACTGAAATGCTGAGAAATGGAGATGAACAGAAGACAAGTTTTTCTTTAGCATAACTGCATAAGAAGTGCATATGCCATATGTTCCATGCAATAAGCCCATGAAGAAGGAGAATCCAACAAATACACTTTATTAATAACCAAAACAAACACGCAGGAGCAACCACAGTAAAACACAATCACATTAACATAACCAATACCGAACAACTGAATAAACTAAAAGGCTTTTAAAAGGGAGCAATCAAGAGGGGAAAAATCACAGTACTCTTAAAAGAGTAGCTACAAAGTCTCCAGAAGAACAACAACTTCTGGCAAGATTTTGAAGTGTGCATACAATTGCCACTTTACTATCCCATGAGGCCACGGAGAGGATCTGTGAATGGCATGAAGTGACGTAACTGACGCTGGTAGGTCACGTGATACTGACAATATGGCGAATGTAACATGTCCAGATTGCATTAAAACTACACATACTCATACTCAACATACTTTTTTTAGCAATCATGAAGTAATTACATAGCTACTCAAGAGAGTATGTGATTTCGGATGCAGCCAATAACACAAACATACACCTGACAGTGGTATTGTTCAGTTTACTTTGCCTTTCATCCATAGTTCTTTGCAACACAGTGGCATAAAGTTCTGCAGTTGCCTTAAATGTGGTTTCAAGTGTCTCGCTCACGCCCAAAACAGTGATGAGGATCCTCCTACGAATGTGTGATTATTCACCAGAACACAAAACTTGGGAATTTGAAAGGCCTGAAGTGTATAATACACAACATCATTTGGCTATTAAGATCAATTTGTGAAATGAGCCAGAGTTTGCACTACTGCATTTGTAGGTGGTGTGTTGCAAGGTCTTAGGGTTTGTGAAAGTGAAACTCTATATGTGCAAATTTAGTTGCAGCACACTCAGATGTAGACACCCTTACACAAAGCGACAAAATGTGTCAGAACGTGGTTCATAATACAAGTAGGCTATACTTTGCATTTTCTGTGTTTTCTCTTTCAGGTTAACTGTTGGAGCATTGGTTTGAAGAGTTTCTTCTTTTGATCGCAAGTTCTTTCCATATAAGCAAATTATTACAGCGACATGATAAACAAAAGGGGAATAGCCTATACAATTGTGAATCTCGATGTCTAGTTTACTTTGCCCCAAACAAAACTCTATTTCAAATATTGGTAACACTTTACAATAAGGTTTCATTTGTTAACATTAATGTATTAACTGACATGAACTAACCATGAGCAATACATTTGTTACTGTTTGTTAATTTTTGGTAACATTAGTTAATAAAAAACAGCTGTTCATTGTTTGTTCCTGTTAGTTCACAGTGTAAACAAGATTTGAATACATTTACATTTAGTCATTTAGCAGACGCAAGAAGTGCTCAAAATACAAAGTTCAGACACTGTTTAGAGAAGCATAAACCAGACAAGGAGGAATAAAAAAAATTTTTTTTTATAAGATTAAGTTCTCACGGAAGAGATGAGTTTTCAGCTGTCTTTTGAATGGGATTCTGCATTCCGGATGAGGGTGGGGGGGAGAGCATTCCACCAGCATGGAACCCTGAATGAGAATGTTCTAGAGAGTGATTTTGTGGCTCTCTGTGATGGTACCACGACCCGTCGCTCATTGACCGATCGTAGGCTCCTGTTAGAGATGTAGTCTCGTAGGAGCGAGTGAAAGTAGGAGGGAGCTGAGCCTGTGATAGATCTGTAAGCAAGCGTCAATGCCTTGAACTTGATGCGAGCAGCGAGTGGTAGCCAGTGCAGAGAGATGAACAGAGGAGTGACGTGGGCCTTTTTGGGCTTTTTGAAGACAAGACGAGCTGCAGCATTCTGGATCACTTGTAGAGGTTTAGTTGCACATGATGGAAGTCCAGGCAGAAGAGCATTGCAGTAATCATGCCTAGATAACCAGGGCCTGGACGAGAAGTTGTGTTGCATGCTCAGTTAGGAAAAGCCTGATCTTCCTGATGTTGTGCATAGCAAACCTGCATGATCGAGCTATCTTTGTAATGTGGTCTGTGAAGGTCAGCTGGTCATCAAATGTTACTCTAAGATTTCTGACTGACCTTGATGGGGTGATTGAGGTTGAATCTAGCTGGATAGTGAAGTCGTGTTGTAGAGACGGATTGGCAGGGAGGACGAGAAGCTCAGTCTTTGCCAGGTTGAGCTGCAGGTGATGTTCCTTCATCCATTCCGAGATGTCCGCCAGACAGCTTGAGATCCGTGCAGCTACTGTGGGATTGAAATGAGAGGTAGAGCTGGCTGTCATCAGCATAGCAATGGTAAGAGAAACCATGTGCCTGTATGATGGGTCCCAGTGATGTGGTGTAAATGGAGAAGAGGAGCGGTCCAAGAACTGAACCCTGAGGAACCCCTGTGGTCAGTTGATGTGCTTTGGATACCTCGCCTCTCCATGCGACCTACCTGTGAGATGGGACTCAAACCAGTGGAGAGGAGTACCTGTGATGCCCAGTGATGAGAGAGTGGACAGAAGGATCTGATGGTTCACAGTGTCAAAGGCAGCAGACAGATCCAAGAGAATGAGACCAATAAAGTATTAGTAGGCCTAAATTTTGAAATTAACATTAACAAAGATTAAAGGGGTCATATGATGGTTCTAAAAAGAACATTATTTTGTGTATTTGGTTTAATGCAACTTGTTTACGCGATTTTAGGTAAAAAAAACACAGCCGGCCTTGTACTCTCTGGAAACAGTCCTCCGAAAAATGTGCAGCACACAGTCGAATATTTTGGTTGTAGCCTACTGTTCTGGAACAGTGTTTTATAATTGTGTCCTCTTTTGGAAGTCCAAACAAAGTAGTTTGCTTTCGCAACGAAAAACACAGCATCTCCCACGACATGGCGGCGCCAGCGGCAACAATAATACAGCGATAATAAAAGTTAAGCCTTTTTTTTTTCATATACATTTGGGCGGTGTTTTGAAACTCTGCCCCCATGGGGCGCGTTTTAGGAAGGCGTGGCTGAGCCTTAACTTTTACAAAAGAATATATCTTTAGGGTTTAAGACTTTGAGCTTTGTAACTCTGCAGATCGTATACATGCACAAACAGCTACATAACACTCTAAAGAAAAAGGAAAACGCATCAGATGACCCCTTTAATAAATACGGTGTAAGTGCAGTTCATTATTAGTTCATGCTAACTATTGTAGTTAATTAATGTTAACTAATGAACCTTATTGTAAAGTGTTACCCAAATATTTGACATCTCTAACTTTAGCAAATAATTATTTCTCAAAACCGCCCATTGTGTTCTAGGGCTGCAACAACTAATCGATTAAATCGATTTTTTTCGATAATGAAAATAACGACAACTAATTTGATTATCGATTAGTCGTCGTGTCTGTGCGCGCCGTGCTTGGAAACCAACAGCATTCATGTCACTTTACAGAAGTAAAAAAAAACGCATATGGAAAAAATAGAGAGCTGCCGTGGATCAAAAACATGATTCAAGTTGTCCGAAACATGGAAACTCTTAATAAGCACTTCAAACAAAAGCATAGGGGTTAACCGCGTCTTGCCCTGTCTTTGACAGATGAGTGTGCTGTTTTAATGCCTCTGACACGTGTTTTCCTTGGGGCATAAATTACATTTTACGGTTATATCCAGTGCTTTAAGTTGGCAGGTAGCCTACGCAGTGCCCCTAATTTCGATCTGTACCTGATTGCTTAATCCTAACACCACCCCCACACCTAATCCTAAACCTACCTATACTGGGGGGATTTGAGGGGTAATAATCTAGAGGGGGTCAGAATTTGGCACAACACC